TTAACTAATTATTATGACCTCAAGTTGCATTGTAACTTCCTTCTGTAGTCTTCCCAAGAATGCTAATTAGTTATTAAGGTCTGAATGTTTTATAGCTTCTAGCAATGACATAGCACTTTAGCTCTGCCAAAGTTTATTTCAAGTTTAGCCACTTTGAGAACTGATGTTAAAAAAAAAGCACCATCAGTTACTTGAACCAGCTTAAGTAAAGTACTTTTGCATTGTCTCTAACCGCATTGTTTAAATTTAACTTCATTTTAGGTTATTTTAAATACCGACAAGTAGTGGAGTTATATTCTGTAGCAGAAGTGGTGCCTTCTACTAATCTAATGTTCACTAAAAAGATTATTTTAACTTTTGTAAGACTTTATCATCATAAATCAGAACACAATAACTTGCTTGTCAATCTTAGTGTCTACAAGAGTTATTTAAGCTTCTATATAAGCAGAACCCTACAATGTATTACAGATTCTTGATGAAATAATACAAAGAAAAGTCCACTACAAGATTTTTTTTTTTTAAAGCAAATGAGTCTTTTACATTTTTTGCAAACATAAAAAGATCACAAATCCTTAAATGACTTCAACAAGTACATGAAAATTCTCACCATTTAGTGAATCTAGAAAATCTGAGGGCTGTTTCAATCTTGTTTTGTGCTCATTTGCTGGTGTGTGCTTGATAACCTGCAGCTGCACTTGATGCCAATTGCAGAGCTGCATCATCATGTTTCCAGTAACATCTATTCCCACATGCATAATGGTAGCATTAAGTAAAACTCTTTTGGTTGGTAACCAAAAGGGAAAAAACGGTTTTCAGATGCCAGATACTGCATTTTCCAGTGAAAATCATGAAATATTAAGCCACACTTATTAAAATTGTGAAAAAATTTAGGAATGAAACATTCAGGAGAAACACATTGTAAATTGAATTGGTGGAAGTACCGCCAAAAATCAGGGCTCTCTTGCCTATCTAAGGAGAGTTTGGAAGTTTAAACTTTTAATAATAAAGCATTCATGGCTAAACTCATTAACTTAAACCTTGCTGTCTAGGACAGTGAAAATTCCAAGAAAATATTTTGTCCAGTTAGATACAGGATATCAAGGGCAAGGGAACTAACAGGGGAAAATCCAAAATCTGCTTAGTTCTTTTTAACAACCAAGTTCCTGACACACAGAACATATTTTTTAAATGGCAGCAACTTTGAAGCTTACAATTAAACAACAAATTAAAAGCTTGTAAAGTATTGAGGAAGAGCTGGATACTTGGACCAAAGCAAAAACTGAAAAAGCTCCTTTGACTTGCCTGGAATTCTGTCACTTAAGGCTCATTGGCATCTGTTAAAAGGGAACAGTGAACCATTATGTATTAATTATGCCTTCTTTTCTGTGGTGCTTCTTTTAATTGTAACTAATTGGGTTCACCTTCAGGTAACTTAACATTCAAATTTTTATCTCTTCTAATGTTTAAGCTCAATGGCAAGGATATACAGGGGTTGGACAAAAATATGGAAACACCTTTAAAAAAACATGTTTCTTTGCTTAATATGGTGTAGGAAACCCGTTGGCATCCAAAACAGCTTGCAGTCTTCTCGAAATGGATAAATACAGTTCCTGTATGTTTGCCAAGGGAATATTATACCATTCTTCCTGCAAAGCGGTGGCAGTTCAGATAACGATGTTGGTGGTGGATAACGAGAACGCACTTTCCGTTCCAATGTAGACCACAAAGGTTCGATAATATTCAGGTCTGGTGACTGTGGTGGCCAGGGGAGATGGGACAACTCATCCTCGTGCTCAGAAAACCAGTCCCTGGACCATGTGAGCTGTGTGAACAGGGGCTTTGTCATCTTGGAAGACACCATCACCATCGGGGAACAAAGTTTGTACCATGGGATGAACTTGATCGGCCAAAATGTTCACATAAGTCTTGGCAGTCATGTGCCCTGACACAGTTATCATGGGGCTAGCAGAGAACCATGATGTGGCTGCCCAAACCATAACAGACTCCCGCCATGTTTCACTTGGGCAAACAAGCAGTCTGTATTATAGGCTTGAGATGGCGTTCTCCAGACGTAAAACTTGGCCAGAAGTGGGAAACAATGTGAAAGAAGACTCGTCAGACCATATTACATACTACTCGCTTCCACTGCTCTATAGTCCAGGCTTTAGACTTAAACACCACCTTTCCTGTTACGGCATTAGCATCACTGAGAGTGGCTTCAATTGCAGCACGGCCAGCAATTCCCTGTTTATGAAGCTCCCTTCTAATGTTTTGGTACTTACAGGATTCGGTAACACAGCATTCATTTCAGCAGTAACTTTTGCAGCTGTGGTCTTCTTATTTTTCATCACAATTGCCCTTAATGATCGTCTGTCACGATCATCAGGACACACTTTCGTCCACGCTGTGATTTAGCCAGATGATGTTTTCCGCTTTTCAATATGGGAAAAATCTTCGATACAGTACCTCTTGAAACACTAAACACACTCAGCTACCTTGCTTACGGAAGCACCTACCATACGTGCTCCAACAATTTACCCATTTTGAAGTTGTTAATTCGGACATAATGCAATGACAACTCACATAACAGTCTCCGACACAACTGAACTGTTTAGCACATTTACGAATTGTATAGGTGGCGTCAGTAGTCAAAAACGCCAGCACCACCTACATATTTCATTAAAATCAATCTTTCTTTTCAAATATGCATTTCACAAGGTGTTTCCATATCTTTGTCCATCCACTGTATATATCAATGAATTATTACCAACATTAATGATTTTTATAAGAAGATTTGAAAAGTTGTGTATAATGTTATGCATACTAGGATGACACTGTTTTTATAATTATAGGAATTTATCTGATCAGTAAGTCTTCCACATATTATGTCTTATTTGATTTTAAAGTTATGAGTCTTGAACTTGTCTTACTGATTTTCTTTTCAAGATTTCAATTTTCTACTCATTGTTACATTATTCCCATAAATTATTTTGCAATAAATAGGTTTAGTTCTTTTATGTGACTCAATTTTATGGCTTCTGATTGTAATAGCAAGTGTTATTTCTAGTCATAACATATACATTTCCAATGCATTATTTCTGTATTCCATTTTAAAAGCAACCACTACCAGCATTACTGGGCTTCATTGCAGAATTTTTTAAATCACTTATATTCCAACATGAAAGCGATTTTTAGTCAACATTCTGCAGACTAAAAATCGCATAGTTTATTTGGCAGAGTAATTCAATAAAATGGATATATAATTGCAACAAAATCTGAATTATCTGAATGAAATCTGTCAACTAACATTCTCTTTATTACTCTTTTAAAAAGCAAATTTTGAACATGGGTAATTTCGGCATGTGCAGTGATAGATATTTTTTCTAATCTTTTAAAAAAGCAATTATGTATTTTGCTAGTTTTGGTGAAATTACAGGGTATAGTGACTTATTACCAACATGGAAGCCCTCCATAATGCTTTTAAAAAAGTAGTTTCAAGTTATCCTTAACAGAAAGATTCCTTACTGGATTTCAGGTCCCGATTTCTCACTGATGATTACTTTTTGATTTCATATAATTCTATTCATTAACTTCTTTCAATAAACATTATTAAGATATATGTTTTCAATTTTGTAAATTTATTTATTTTCAGTCTAAATTTCAAGACACAAATACAACCCGCATAGCTGTACCTTGAAATTCTGATACTAGAAATAATTTCTTCAAAGTGAACACTGATACTTCAAAAAGGTGGCAGTCAGCCAGAAAAGGTTGGGATCCTCTGCTTTAGATAATGTTCAGAGTCTCATTCAAGTTATTTTTCATAACATAGCTTCCAACCTTGAAATATCAAAAAAGAGATGTTCTTCCTCAAACCGGGAGCATCTGGGTGATTTTTGCACTGCACAGCAGCGGCATTTTAAAAGAAATCAAAATTCATTTAAATTCGTTTCATTGCAAATGCAAGTTTCAATTTATTTAACTATTTATAATATGATTATAAAACACATAAATATTTGATTTCACACTCATAAGAAGAATATATTTTAATACATATTAATAATGACATATTATTAATATTTGATTATGTATTCAAAAAACAAATATTTGGCTCATTTTGTAATTTTTATACACTTTAAATTAAGAAAATCCCAGAAACGGATAGGATGCTTTAATTTATTTAAGTATTTTAAACTTAAGTACTTTTTTTTTATTTTGTTTAAGTACTTTTTTTTATTTTGTTTAAGTACTTTTAAACATGGTAAAAATAAAATGAATAATTAATAGACATAGTACTGTGTGGATGAACTTAGTAATGTGCCAACTAATTATGTATTTAACAAAAAATTCATTCAGATAAATATTTACTATTTAAACATTTTGATTGAATTTTCATATAAAGGTCAATAAATGTCTAGAGTTGATTAGGGCAGCTCATATCCAATAAAATTTAATAATAATAATTATGTTGAAGATAATTAGGGGTGAAGGAAATGAAATTTTCATTATTTAACTTTGAGTAATTCAATAAAACTTAAAATGTGCAATATTTATTTTCACAAATTAATTTCATTTTCCCAATTTAATTGTATTGGTAAAAAACATTTTCATTACTAAAGAGCAAAAAACTGTGAATTTCAATGATGTACCAGCTGACCAGGACACGTGTCGAAAAATCGGGAGAATTGGCAACTATGTCGTATGAAACATACAGTAACAGGCTTTTTAAATAAAAAAAAAATAAATAAATGCTTCATCTTCTGATTATGTAATTAACATTTTCATAAATATGGCTCTTTGGACAAAAGAAATTATGTAAATCAAATATATATGAAAGAACATGAATAATATTAATATTAACACGCATATATTGCTCTATATATGAATATATCACTGCACTGTAAAATTTAGTATTAGAGAGTAAATAATTTCATAACAATTAAGCGAAAACCGAAATGAAAATCTTTCAAAAAATTTTAAAATTACTGCAAATGACTCACTTTCTGCTGATTATCACAGTTACAGGGAAATGAAAAACAGGCCCCTTTTCAACACATGAACAATCATATGCTTCAATCTGGAAAGAAATAAAAATGGGGAAAGGCCAAATTCATTTTATTGTTTGCTACTCATTCCAATTTATGATAAATAAATAAATAATGAAACTGTGCACTGATTATTAAAATTTAATAAAATCAAATTCTTCTATAAGTATCACAAAGGTACGTCAGTATTTTATGAACTATTTCAACAAAACAGATTAGACTGTTGTTCAATAGTTTTACTTACTTTTCTTTACACATATGTTACAGGAATAAATGTATATGCATTAAAAAATACTCTAATCCCTTAACAGCAAATGCAACATGTGGTTTTAAGGACAAAGATTATAACTGCAATAAATTAAGTAATTAATTCATGTTGGAGCTAAAATAAATCCTCAAAACAAATGAAATCACTATAACAAAGGTTTTCAATTTAATCAACAAACATATGGGGAAAAAACTGTAGCAATACACAATATAAGTACAGCATTTTAATTGTCAGAAAATCACAACTTCATATTTAAAAAGTTTATTATTAATAGCTATGCAATACAGCTTTGATTACTTAAATACCAAGGAGCATAACTAAATGTAAAAATAAAAAATTCGAACTTTTCTCAACTTTGCTTGCTTGAAACTGTTTTCGGCTCCTTTCAGTTTTTGACTTATCATAGTTCAATGTTATACTCAATTTTTTTTATGAAATCATAATCTTGCTTTATTTCATGAAGTTGTTTAAGTGTTAAATTTGAACCTTTCATACCAACAAACTTAAAAATTTGCCTTTGGATGATCAGATTAAACTATATCAGTTCCGATGAGGATATCGCATCTATTCCTAGAAGTGAATTAGGAGTTGTAGGTACATTTTACTCTAGATGGTGGCACTCTAACATGGTAGACTATTTTATGCTTTCAACCATTCTTTTACTTGGTCTTTTAGGTTAGCTTTGACATTAATGCAAGTATTTCCAAAAACTTTAGCCCTTTTTTATTTTTGTATTTCTTGTAATATTTTATATTATTTATCTATTTGCTTTTAAAATGAGAGAAAAAATAGATCATCTAACTTGGGTTTAATCTTATTCGTGATCACAAGTCTTGCATTAAAGCATTTATTTGTTTCATAGAATTGCAGATCTGAGTGCAATGGCTTTGAAATTGTAAAAACAGTCCAATCAGAAAGTCAGATATAGCCATTTTTGTTCCTAACCCTAGCAGAAAATTTTTGTTGACAAAGTGCAAACTTTTGTCCCCAAGTTGGAGACCATCTGGTAATTTTTTGGAAGATTTGTGAAAACACATTTTTGAAGCCCTACAGCTGGTTCTTCCAGAAGCTTCCAGGCTGCAGGGTATAAATACAGGTCGAGCAGCTAGGAACATAAATTTAATTTGGCTGGTCAATAAGAAGAATTATGGGTCCTCTCGGAGAGCGATGTGAGGAACTTTATGATTTATTTTATACATTAAGTAAAAATTGCTAAATATCCACATTCTCTTTGAGTTATTTGCAGCTATTATTATGCTGTGTATGCTATAGTTTTTAGTTTCCTAATAAATTATTCATTTCTTCCTGCCTGTCTATACTTACTGTTTAAAGAAACATCAATGATCCTGAAGCTCACAACAGTATGATATGCATCATCCTGTGAGTTGCTTAAGTTAGAAAGTAGTTTATTCCAATTCACATTCCTTTTAGTTCTTGAAATTAAGCTTATGCCCCCCCCAGTTTCTTTTTTGATATCTTAACTGATCATACTAAACATTTTTTAATGTTAATCAGGCCGGCACTCTATTTTCGGCAGCTGGGCTGGCTGACTATACATCTACAAGTAGTTCTTACGGTTTACAATATGTGAAGCTCTTATGTGCTAGTTCTTCTAAAACTATTTCCATAAAAGCATTTATTCTTATGCAACAGCCCTTCAATGTCTTCACATCATTCATAATCAGTCTTCACAGTGACTAGTACCACCGTATTTTATGGTAGATTCAGGCTCGACAGGAACCGTACTAGTATGTCTTTGGCAAGCCAAGCGCGAAGGAAAACGAGTTAAAGAAACAGTAAGTTCTTCAAAATCAAATTTTTGCGAATCATCAATGGTGCCCCATACTTCACTCTCAAGAAAAATCTACATAATGACATCAAAATAGAAACTGTTAAGGATTATTCTACCAAGCGAATGCTCTTCAATAATCAATATCCATTTGGCATATTAACTTCCCAAACAAATTCTGTTATTGAATGTTAGATGTGATGTATATCCATTACCTTCTGATCTGTCAATTATCTGATATATTCTATCATTAGTGTTAAAATAAAATATTCCCATATGCCAAGCCCTGCAGTTAATCATAAAAAAGTAGATCAACAACAGGACAGGGTATTTCCGTTTTATATTTTTAAAATTAAACTATTACATGAATTGTTATGGAATTAATTAATCCGTGATCCCACAGCTAAATTACAACCACGTCAACTATAAATTACAGAACGTAATAATCCAGCTTTTAAGCTCTTATATTTTTCAAACAGGAAAGATCACAACATTACTGCTCGCTGAAATTTTTCAACTTTCATTTCCCCTTCTTAACTCCTACATATCCATACACATAAATAAAAAGGTTGAGTTCTTTTTCTTTTTTTGATACAACTGATACAATTGTCAACATAATAACTATGCATAAGCTTCTGAACAATGCTTTTTGGATATCAGGATTCAGCAGTTTCTATTTACTCTAAAACACTTTGTAAGTGAAGCTGATTAGTAGAGTTTAGAAGAAAAGGGCTGCTTGCTACACCAAAAACTACATGACCATGCCTGCACTCTTTCAGCTGACCATCACTATCAAGCCATAAGAACCTCACAAAATCTCTATCAATGGGTGAAAAACTTGTAGAAAGGCTCTTCATATATCAGCAATAACACATATCCCTTCATTTTGAAATCATGTTGAAATACTGGTAACCTACTCTATTAGATTTGGATGCTTTTCCAAGCAGACATTAAGACTAGGAAACCCCTTTAGTTTGGCTGAAGCACCAAATACCAATCGGGGTTTTGTAGTACTATTCTTTTCGATAACTTCTCTATGAGGAGGGGAAAAACTTGACCTCGATCATTTTTAGCAACCTCTTCAATTACTCCCTCTTATAGCTATTCTTAAAAACATTTTCATAACCTTCATTTGGACTCGGTTTTAAGACGTTTAAAAGTTTCATTCACTCTCATCTCGGCTAAATCCAAATAATCTGTTACTGGTGGATGATCTTCCAAAATGGGCAAATCAACCTCAAAATGATTATCTACTACATGGACTGTATTTAGGAAATATAACGGAGTAGCTTCTTGCAGTTGAATCTGGATTTTCTTGACTTATGGGTCACTAATGCCAAGTGCATTCAAGGTCTATAAATCTGTTATTGCCTCTACTGTAGACAACATAGACATAACTAATAATGATGATGAGCACTTATTTCTCGAAGTATTGAGCAGTGATCCCATAAATGGCCATCCACGTTCTGTTTCAATAGCTATGGAACCACAAGGTAACTCAGGATGACCGCCTGTCAAGAGTTTTCCAGCTCCATCAGGCCCCAATAAAGATTTCAATAAGATCTTAACAATCATCCACAATATTTATATTACAAGTTGCTAACTCCTTCAGATAAAGCTTATTGACAGTAGGTGGCAATGACTTACAAATAATTTAGTAGGAACTTTTAAAGTTACAATTATAATTACCATGCACACTTGATAAATACAAAGTGTGTACGACGTGCTTGCATGCCTCTGAATTTTCAACTCCAAATAAAGAGTTTTGCAAGTATTCACAATTCTGAGGTTAATTTCTTGAGCTATAATTTGTAATAAATATGATAGCCCTGAAGATATATCGATAATAGCTCTTGCAACACTTTTTCCCCATTACCCCTAACTAGAACTTTGAATGTTTGCAGCATTATGTCTGGACTATAAGATAAGTTGAAAAGAGCTTGATCCACTTCAGCAGTAATCTATTTTCTTTTCAACTTCAGGCGATTCTTCGTTTCTCAACACAGTTATTTGGTGCATTTCCACATAGAAGAATATGTTTGTTTGTTTTTTTTTACCACATCACAAGCAATTAGCTTTCAAGCTACAGCCCTTGACTGAATATCCAGATTTCAAACATAAAAAACACTTGTGAGATTGTTGAACATGTCACTCCCTTTGCTTTAAAAGTATTTTTCTTGATTTTAGACAATCTCCAGAATAATGTGAATTAGAACAGAATATACACTGTTTTGACACTTGAGATGAAGTTAGACAGTTTGTCGCACTATATACATTTGAAAACTTTCCACTCTTAAATTTCCTCTTTATTGCCTTTTTCTCATTGGAAAACTTATTATATTTTACTTCCACTTTTGACTCAAAGTGTTGAAACTTGGCAGGATAGAAAAATATGTTCTTCAGCTTCAACTCTGTCTTGTAAAAATTCTAGAATACATTCTAAATCACTTTCTCAATTATAGTTGTACTTTGGTTTGAAACATCTGAATTCACTTCTCGAACTCTATGGGCACATTTGTAGTGCTCCCAAGCAAAAAAAATTTCTTTGGGTAACGATGATTCAACTAAAGGAAATAACATGGCAGCATATTTTTTTCCTTACTAACCCGTAATAGTTCAAGTGAATGGAGTTTACTCTCAAGTTGATCAAACAATTTTCTTAAGGAATTTTTAGGACAATTCTGTTTTCGAAAAACTAATGCTAATAAATCTCTACTGTAGACTTGTATCAAAGATTCTTCTCTATTAAAACACATTTTTTGCTGTTTTAAAGCTTTTAAATAACTATCACCACCTGGGGGTAAACTCTTTTTTTTTTAATTCAATTTTTTTTAAACTGCCCCCAAACGTAGAGCCAGGTTTGTTTATTACCATCAAAAGCAGGTAATTTTATTTTTGGATTATGTAATGAAGTGTTCGGCTGCGAACTAATATTCAAACTTTCATTCTTAGAAGATTAGAATATTTCTTCTTACTCATTCACTCACTAATGTTTCTAGCTTTTGTTTTAAAGATCTACAGCGATCAATATACGTTTCTGACTCATCTACCACTTTCTCTATTTCGGTATCAGAAGTATTTTCAGAATACAACAGTTGTTTATATATCTCTTCACATGCTATCATTATTAAAGCTTTCTCTTCAATTAGCTTCAATTTATTAATTTTATAGCTTTAATTTATTAATTTTATCAGGACAATTAAGTTTAATTTCTCCCTCATCAAAAGAATTACATGGAGTAAACAACTTCTAAGTGGTCTTCTATCTCTCAATACAATTTCCATAATGAATAAAGAATAAAAATATTTTTCACTCACTCGTGAAATGCAGCTGTGTGCTGTCGCAGATGCCAGATATTTCATTTTGCCTTCAATATCGGAAGAATAGTGATACAAATGAATGTAATCAATTATTCAACAAAATATTTTGTGGCAATATAAATAGTTTATTTTACAAATCTAATAAGTGACAACTTTAGCTTTGACATCTTAAACAACACTCAAAACCTAAATGGTGTGGGATACTACTCATTAATTCTCAAATACACATGAAAGGAAACTCAAAGCCACTTTTTCTCATATTTTTTAAACAAAAAGAACACGCTTAAAATATAAATGTAAAAAAAAAAAAACTGAATTGCTGCTACTCGTAATTTACTAAATTACATAACAAAATAATTAGGTAGATGTTCAACATCACAACCACAGTAAAACATGATGAAAATTTACAATGCCTAAAATAAATGTGTTAAAAAAATAACACCTACCCATGTAAAATGTTCTCCTGGAGATAAACCACATGGATCAATATGAATGGCGAATGAACGAGATGTATACATGAGATACAATGTTGAAGGTACAGAAACCCATGTAGCATCACACACTATTTTTAGATTCATACAGAAGTTGATCTTTCTTTCAGCATCTACAACAAAATAAGCATGCAAATATTGTCAGTAATCAAGACAAAACATGATATAAAATTAACAATATGCATATATTTATCTGCCTTTAACATGCAATCACCATTTTCAACAAAGGTAAAACAACTTAATTTTTCCAAAATGTCAAGGTTTTTATGCTATACAGTTTTATCTCAAGGACTTAATGAATATCAAATATCACAAAAAATAATCAGCACATAGCACAGAAATTTGTAAATATCGCAGGCACTTATGACTAAAACCCATATTTTTGAGAATGTCAAATTATGCCTACTAGAAAGCCTTCTGCCAAAATTTGTTAAATGAATGCACTTTCAGGATAATGTTAGGTGACACATATAATAGCATTCTGCAAAACCAAAGATCATTCAGATACGAATTTCAGTTACAACGTTAATTAATGTCGTGAATATCGATAAACAAGTATGCAACCCACACACACACCATAGAAAATGAATCTGGAAAGTAATGAAAGCAGAAAACATACCTAAAATGAATCTGGAAAGTAATGAAAGCAGAAAACATATAATAAGGGTAAAACAAAATTCATCAGTACAAAATTATATAGGAAAAAAAGCATGAGAATTTAAATGCCATAAACAAGTAAGAAATGAACGTATGTGCATTACAGGCCTAAGAAGACCAATCACATTAAAAGCATCTTTTATTTACGATTTACAAGCTGATTTTTCATTCTTTATTTGTAGATTGGAGCATTTCAGTGTATAATTGTTTCAGCTTTCTTTGTAGTGAACCCAAACTAACAACAAAGTGACTTGTTAACTCGATGCACTTGCTTTTAAAAATATTTTATAAGTTCTACGATCCTGGATTTTTTTGACGTAACTACAATACTCCTAAACATAATAGAAGGAAACCTGACACTTATATGCCAATTTTTAATCTATCTTATTGGTTTAAACTGCTAGCATGCTCCATCAATTGTTTACAAATCTATACTACCATCCATCATTTTCTTAGCTTCAGAAAATTTAACTCAATGATTTCAGTGTTGATATAATGATGTAAATTCCTAGTCATGAGGTGTCCACTTTTCTGAGATAGCTGAGAATTTTGAGCAGCAATAAAACTGGAGAATATTTTTAAAAGCTTGCTAATATCACCCGTAGAAAAATGACTTTATAAATAATTCAGTAAATCCACATATGGTTTAAAAAAATACTTGAAAATTACTTGATACAGCATTCAGAAGACCCATGATCAGCTCTATCAAAAAAGCTTTTCAAACAGCAGACAAGCTACAATAAATGCAGTAAACAATACCAAATCATTAGACATGGTCAATTGTGAAATTCTTAATATATACAGAGCATCCTATCAAGAACTCTGCAATGCCAAGATTTCTCACTCAGGGCATATAAAAAAATAACCATACCTCTGCAGCATACAGAATTTTAGAAAAATGTATAAGATAAACTATTATATAAAAAATAAGCTTTACCAGAAACAGAAGAAAATGTACAACTGAGAATAAAATAAAAATGCATTTCACTTATCACAATGGTTGCCAAAGAGGTACCTTTGGAAAATAGTCAAGTAACAGTAAGTACTATCTGTTATAAAAATGAAAAACCATTGTTTGACTCATAAAAAAGTGAGTCTTGGAAGTGACTGGATTACAGAAAATTTTTGTATGGCAGTAACATAGTCTATTCATGAATACTGCAAATGTACTTTGGTAAATGTGATAGTAATGTTTTATGAACTGTGTTAGACTATGACTGTCATGCTATTCTCATTATTCATCCATATTCAAAATGCCATCCATGTCCAATAAATTTACTAAGTAAAACTCATATCTCATTATGGCCTTGTACAGTCTGATCTCTCAATAAATCTGCTAAATTTGAAAGATATAATAGTTGCATTAAAATTGTTTAGGCTTGTAGAAAAAAGCATCAGCTGGAAAGCATAGCAGCAAATTATCACACAGACATAATGTATTCCATTCATGAATACTGTGGCATGCATTTTATGTTTGCAATGGTAATGTTCTACAAACTGTGTGGAGGTATGCATCATAGTACATTCTTCATGTAATCTACTGAACCCTTTCCACACAGATGTTTGGTTATACCCTTGAAATATGAAAAACTGGGAGATTCTCCAGAAAAAGAAAAGAAAAAAAAAAAAAAAAAAAAAAAAACAGTGTAGGCATTTCAAGGAGGTTTTCATGCTGCACTGCAACAAGTTTTCAAAAGAACTCTAAACTGATTTAAATTTGAAACATAACGCATGATTCATGACATTCAGCTATTTATAATATGATTCATGTACAATATATTAATGTAATTAAATATTTCAAATTTGTATGTTCTCTGGCTAATTTTATTTTGTAATTTTCTTACACATTTAAACTGAGGAAATCTTAAGTAGGGAAAGCTTGAATTTATCAAGTAACTTTTAAGGCCAATGAAGATAAAATTAACAATTAATGAATATACTACAGTGTAAATAAACTTGGTAAAATACTGCATACTGATGTAAAACAATATTAAAGACAAATGTTTTCCGATTAAACATTGGTTGGATCTTCGTATAAAGTTCCACAGTTCTCTGCTGTAGATTAAGTCAATTCAGATCAAATAAAATGTAGGAAGAAAAATTATGGTGAAGATCATTAGGAGTGGAGAAATGAAATTGCACAATTTAAGTTCCATTACTTCAATAAATTTCAGTTATTCTTAAAAAACAAAAACTTGTTAGTAAAGACTAAAAATTAAAAACCCAGATATTCAGTAATTCACTGGAAGACTAGGAGAGTTGGCAGTTAAATAATGCCAATGCAATATTCAAAGAGGATAACAGATTGAGACACTGAAAGCAATCTCCTGATAGAAAATCTGCATAATGTTTATGGCAGATCCCACATGAGTCTTCTACTAACACAAAAGTTGTAATAGTGTGATAGGTTCAAGCACATCCATAGCTAAGCACTAAGCAAGTAGTCTAAAGTCAGTACTCTGCTTCAGCTATAACAAGTTGCAAGGCAGTCCTGTCTTACAAAGCTATGCAGTTTGTATTCAGGTGACTTCTAAAGTTGCAATGCCTTTTCTAAATAGTCACCGTAACAACATGAAGACTGAAATTAAAAAAAGATTTAAAAAAAAAAATCTTAAATGTTTCAGATTTTAAATTACGTCCAAAGGGGCGTTTTTTAACATTTTGTGTGTTACCTTTCTTTATTAAATATCATGTTCCTCGCACTTAAACCATAAGATCCAGTGCAACAGCAATATCGCAAAATAGTTTTAAAACGAGCATATCTTTAGAATTTCCGATACAAAGACTCACGCGCTGGAGATAAAAAATTTTTTTCTGCACAACGTTGCCATTGCTCGCTTTGAAATCCTGGAGTTTGTTAATCAAAAATTCGTCAAAGTTTTAAAAAAATAGGAAATCGATCATAAAACTAATTTCAAATTTCAAATTTGGTCTTCCACATGCTCATATTCGTTGGAGGAGTTACGTTATTCAAATTCATTCGATGACTCTATGTACCGTTATTTTATGACAATGTGAGAAATATACATACATTTATGCAGATTTTCATTATTTAATTTCTTCAAATATAATGCAGGACTCTAACATTTTATGGCAACAGTTTGAAAAGTGAACCGACATTTATCCGTCCGACACAAAATGCCAAAACGAAACTAATAGTCCTTCGGGATTCAAATCTCTTTGGACTAAAAATGTATTGGGGATAGATAATTTAATTAGCCATGTATTGTGAACGAATGATAGGTATCAAACAATAAGTTTTTTTATCTTTCAAAACAGACATGAGTGGTCACAGTCAAGTCTTGAAGCAACCTACCCACAAAAGCACCAGATCGTATAGTCTGTAAATGTAATGGCCTGGCATATAAGCAGTTATATTTTTAGCAACATATCTGCTGCCTCAATGGATATTCAAAATTCGTTTCCTGTTTCATGCACAAATATTTCTCAAGCATATATCCTTAATGCTACTATGAGAACTACGGTTAAGTATAATGAAACACAGGCACATTATTTTATCCTGTACATGATTTACTAAATATGGAATAGTGAGGTTGCTGATTTAAACATAGCAGTCAAACTGTGTGCTGGCAATAATACAAAACTTACTTTGGATTTCTTTCTATGGAGCCATCTGAAAGAACTGGAATCTATAACCCCATTTCTAATGGAAAGAAACTGTGTTCCTCATCTCCATCTTGCATCCTCTTTTGTGGGCACAACTGCTGAGTTGTGTTCAATCTCCATGGTACATACAAGTATGCCTCAATATGTGTGATCATAATTTTATGTAAATAATATCCCTAAACTAATGGTCATGTTTTAAAAACACTTTTTTTCATACATCACAATGTCATACTTTTCCTTTCCCCACATTCTGAAAAACTATGGGTTGCATAGGTATGGCTCTTCAATTATATTTTATGTATACTCTTGGAGGGGGATCTCTTACACCCCTCCAAGAGGGAGGGGGTTCTTAAACACTTGAGTTTCACATGAAATTCTATCCTGAAATATATTCCATTGTTAAACCCTGACAGGTATCATGCTTTTACCCAGTGAGGAAATTTTCTGTAAGTATCAAAATGTCATTTGAATTATTTTGTTTTCTTATAGCCTTCAATAATTTAAATATCATCCTAAGGAATAGACGTTAACAAAAATGAAGAGTAAATTAAGAAATTATGCAAACCTAATATTTGCCTTTTATGAAAGTCCTTTATTAGCACATTAAACATTAGTCATACTGCTCAGACGGGTAAACTTCAGAGAGGGCATGACTTGATATTAATTTGTGCTCTTCTTTCCAGAATAACAAGAATTTTCATTATTTTGAATTAGTAGTCCTCCAAAACATCAGGACATTCTAATCTATTATAAGTAAAGATATGATCATATCTCTAATTATAATTATTTTGAGCATAATACTTCTCTTAATTGTTAAGCTGTGATACACACATTAAAAAAATTTAATAGTTTATCAGGCCCCTGTTGACAGGCCTTAGTAATTAGTGCATAAAAATCAAAGGTTAGGTGTTTAAGGATTTCATTCAGGAATTGGCCAATATTTCTATCAGAAATGAAGAAAACCATAAAAATACCTAACAGTCAGCTGGCTCAACGCCCCAAAAACAGAAAGCACAGCAAACTGCTAGACTTTTTTTATACTCAGTCAATGTACAGTAAGACCCCGCTTAACACTGTTTCGTTTAGCGCTCTTTTATTTCAACCCGGGGATTCCATGAAATCGCTCGCAGCATACGGGGATTCCCCGAAATATCATGCAGCGATAGGTTTCAAATACATATCCGAAAGAGTGTACTTGTATTTCTTGTTTGGTGCGGTATTGTACAGACATATTTTGAAGGGGTAAATGTGGAAGATGTTGAAGAAATAATTCAAGAAGCAGCGGCTAGTCTTTCTAATGATGAGCTCAAGGAATTAACTGAACAAGAAGAAAACAAAAATGTGACAGCAGTGCATTCAGAGAAGAGCAAAAAGAACTTTCGATGGCTTTGTAAAAAGGAGTTTGTCTACCATAACTGAAATAATGGATCAATTCATTGAAAATGATCCGATTTTGACATGAGCTCAAAAGTAAGCGTGGTGTTAGAGATGCTCTATCCGTTTATGAAGACTTTTAAGAGAACAACGCAAAGAAAAAGGCAAACAACATTAGATGCTTTTGTCACAAAAAGGCAGAACACTGAAAACGCGGAAGGCTAACTAAATATGACTGACTTAGAATTTTATTGTTTTTTTTTTTAAGAATATTCGTTTTGTTATTTATATTTTGTTTTTATTTTTGCAAGAAATAATAATGTGGTATTAATTTGGGCTTTAAGAAATAAACGTTTGGTTTTATTTTTATTAAAAAAAACACACTTTTTAAATTTAATACCTAACCAATTTCCTAGCCATCTTCCCCTAACCCCAATATTTACATGTAAAGATAGCCTCGTTTAGCACTGTTTCGCATTATGCTCTACTTTGATGGAACGTATCCCCCGCGTTAAGCGGGGTCTTACTGTATACCTAAACAACAAAATGAATTAGATTTATTCCAGCACAGACAATAAACACTACAATTCTGTTTTATTACACGTAGAGATTTTCATTTTACTGAAAACAATAAATTTGTTACTGCTAATGGCATGGTCACTTCAGGAATTCAGATTTGTTTTCTAATTTCTTTTTTTTTGGGGGGGAGGGGACTTTCTCAGAAATTATTGCGGCACAAAAAACAATGGTAAATCATGATTTAATTCATTTTATAATTTGTCATTTAACATCTTAAATCAAACTTCAACTTCTTACACACAGACATAAACCAGATACTAATCAAAAATCAAATACAAATATCATAAAATCAAATGATGCTAGGGAATCACAGTATGCAACTGAACAACGTTCACATTACTGAAATATATTTTTCATTCACTAGTTTATGACAGAACCTATAAATTTTAATGCACCAATTTTTAACAAGCTATTTTTAAGGGTATTTCAAAGCTCCATGTACACTCTTTGAAAACAGGCAGAAAACATCAATACGAACTATATTCATGTAAGAAAGCAGAATTGGAAATGGACAGGTGACGTACACCAGTACTCCAGGTTACTACTTGTGGCTTTCTCAATAAAGCCTGCATTATCATACACAAAAGAATATCTCATTTAATGAACGCTGAGTTGGTTTGTATGTACATAGTGTATAGGTTAACTGACAGTAATGAATTATTAGGAAAGGTACCCAACTATAAGTATACAACAGCACCAAATGTTAGCCCATTTGCATAAGAACCTGAGCGAGCATGGATCCTTTAGATGCAGGATACCAGGAGCCATGATCAACCTGGAAAACCTATCATGGAAAAGGACTTGTTTCATGCTATGAGCAGTAATTCAGGCAAAAACATACATATGGTCACTGTAATGGAAGAATCCTGAACCAGTGATGGTATGTTGTGCACGCAGCAGCTTTACATCAGTTTCATTTTTGACATATCCACTTACTCCAGATGAATCTGCAACATTAATATTAGCACAGTGCACGACAACATGGAGTTCGCACACTGTTTTCTGTTCACAAATGATGCGTCTTTCTGCTGTGCAAGGGTCTTCTTTCTACAATGCACACATATGGGCTCATGAAAACTCATATACTGCACAACACTACTTCTATATTAATACAGGGTCAGGTAATGTAGACAATTGTTTAGCCAGTACCATATATTGTTCCCACAATAACCAGATGCTGGAAGCATTGGACTTTTCTGGAACAGGTTCTCAACTTATTTACTGAATGAAGATTCCCATGAATGTGCATCACTTGCAGTTCCAACATGATGGGGCTTCAGCCCATTATGCTATTTATGAACATTTACACCAGACCTTTGAGTATTGGTAGATTGGATGTGGTGGAACAGTTGCATGGCTTCATTATTTACATGATTTATACAGCACTGATTTCTTTCTGTGATGGACCTTCACAACCATTGTGCTCAAATGTCCACTGCTTCTCACATAAACTTTGTGGCTTCATCACAACATCAGTCCTTTCCAATGATTAGGGTTCATGCCTATGTTCTCTAGTGGAAGTCTGTACATGCAATTTTTATATACTGTGTATGGAAGCATGGAAAGAATTCCATTACTAACACTGCACATATGTGACGAAGTAGCTAAGGCAAATATTGAAGATTTCAACATGTGTTTGATTCCTAATGTCAGATAGGCTTTTGTGTAGCGTAAATATGAGTTATTTCCTTGGCCTGACGAAATCTGCCACATTGGGTATCCCCTCCAAAGCAGAATTTTGAATGCTTTGCCATAAATAATTCTTCAAAAAAAAATCTAACCTTTTTTAAAATGTGTGACATAACATAAATTATAGTTCGATTACATAATTTATTTCATTTTGAAAATTAAAAATATACATTTACATGTTTAACTAACTATATTGATTTAAAGTTTTTTTTCCATTTTATATTAATAAAATTGTTTTCTCTCTTTATGCTAGAAAAATCGGAAGACACTGAATAACTAAATAATTGTGAATATGTTGATCTAAACTGTGTACATCAAATACATGAAAATGCAATGAATACGCCTGCAAAGCAAGAATTAAAACTAAAGTAAATATCTCAACTCATTAGAAACTGTTACATGTTCTTCATTGTGTGGTTTTAGCATTAAAGCTACATTTTAAATGACTGTGGGCGTAATAAAATGTTGATATGCGACACTTTACCATAGTTTTAACAATCAGAAAACAATCATGCGGTATTCTAGTAGCCTAAACAAGAAAAAAATAAATATTCAGTATGACTTCATACAGCACTTAGGAATATTTTACACATTTCAGTACCTGAAGAAATATCTCCTAGAAATATTGGCTCAACTGATATGCAATGTACAGATGGTCGACTGATCTGATGGGTTTCACGAAGATATATACCATTCTTGTGGTCAGAAATAACATGAAAACGAACACATCGTTCAACACAATCCCAGTATCCCACTAAATGATTAAAGGCTTTTTCGACCTATAAATAAAAATGAAATAAATACATCATACGTATTTAATTTAAATGATACATTATAAAGCCTACAAACACTGTATCTGATACACTATAAAACAAAATACCTTACTGAAAGCACTTCACAAATAGATAACTGAAATCAATAGAAAATTATAACACTTTATTAAAGAAGCATTGACTTTGTGAATATTATTATTAAATAAATTTAGATTTTTTAAATAGGCACAGAGAGGCAATTTTTGTTATCTCTCCTTCAACATAATTACACATAACTACACAATAATGCAACCACAGGCCATTCAATAACCACATGATAAAATGATATGAAACAATTTTATTTTTCTATGAGCATGACACAGAATTCACATATTGTTATACAAATTAGTAGTGACAGATAAAAAGTGATACATGAATCACATAAAAACGGAATGCCATTGAAATTCAACTTTAAATTTTCTGAACTTTGTATGACCATTCCATAATTAAGCTGGACTACACTCCTCAAAAGTGAAACTGCAGCATTAAGAAAGAATGCGAGTAGTATCATGTAAATTGCAGAAGCGAGAGTTGTGAGGTGGATATACAAATGATAAAAGTTGTACATGCATTGGATCACGTGGTACCCATATGCGGGCTAAAAAGGTCATCCACTTTCTCCCTCATAAACAGTGTTTGAGGGTTTACGGAGCATTGCAGACGTTGGAAGAAGCATAGGAAATGCCTCTAAAATGTCATTGAGCTCAATACCATCAGTTAACGACAGGGGAGCATGACCGAATTATCAAACTCCATGAGCTTAGTTTGTCGCTGAGTACAATATCCACCCGTGTTAGGCACAATGTAAGTATCATCTAACATTGTGTCACATGATGGATTCAGGAAGGTGTACATGCATGTTGAAGAGGAAGTGGTGTGTACAGGTGCACATCGGAACTCACATACCAGCGTATTTGGTAGTCAAGTATTGGAGACCCTTTCTCCATGTCAAGTGACATCCAAAGGCGGCTGTCACCAGTAGTAGGTGGATCTGTGTCCACCCAAACTAGATGCAACAGTACATGAAGTACACTTATGTTCAAGGGTACCAGCCACAGGGGTACCATTGACTGCTAAGCACAAGACTAGATGCCTGGTGTGGTGTCAGCATCATAGTGCGTGGACAATCGAATGGCACCAGGTTTTGTTCACGGATGATTCTCGTTTCTGTCAGTGGAGAAATGACGGCCATCGACCAGGCAACCCGGAGAACACTACGAAACAGCCAATTTCACGCCAAGCATCACCCCTGACCTGCACTGGGCATTATGGTTTGGGGTGGCATAATGCTCAACACAAGATTCCCCTGGTACACATTAATGACAGTTTGACAGCGGACCGTTACATCAAGCAAGTTGTGGACCCTGATTTTCTGCCCTGGTTGCAGGGTGCACCCAACGTGGTATTCCAGCAAGACAATGCCAAGCCCCATGTCGCACGGCATACTCTTAAGAGCCTAACCGGATTTAACATCCTACCCTGGGCGGCAGCCTCTCCAAAACTGAATCCCATTAAACACATTTGGGAAGACATTGCTACAAGCATTCTTTCTTGGTGTTGCAATTTCACTTTTGAGGAATGTATTTCCCTGCATATAAATATGATGAACTAACGCATCAACTTATGTTAGAGAAACTGAATAATTCTATGCATTTATTAATAATAATTAAGAACATTAAATATGATAAATGAACATTAAACATGATAAATAATATTTCTCATCATTTTTCAAAACAAATACAGAAGGGTAAAATAACGTGAGGTACTTGAAGCCCTCTAGCGAGTAAAGTACTGGACGAAATATAACCAAATTTGTTCTATCCATAGTGGACCATGAAATTTTGATTTATTGAAAAAGGAAGGAAAGAAAAAAAAGAAAAAAGCAAATTAGTACCAAAATATGGCACCAAAGGAAATGTTGGTGCTGCAAAAGTATATTAGTGTGAATAATGAACAATTAAATTCCAAATGACAGAGCACACATCAGTTTTATTAACAAGAAACGATTGTTACTTACAAGTGAGGGCTAATATGACCGCTTTTGTGATGTTCCAAGAACTGCATACACTGCACAACATTTTTCATAGTGGCTCATAACATATCAGAATTAACTTGTCTCACCTGTAACGTTTTTCAGTTTTTCAATGTTAAGATATCAGTACATCTTGATACACAACGCCTTTAATTAATCCCCAAAGCCAAGAGTTACTAAGACCTCGGTACCCATACCCTAGGAAATTCATAAATAATGACTGCTGTCAGAGAAATGTTGCTGCAACACACACTGCACTATAAGTCAAATGTGGGTGGTTCTGCAAGAATATTGTCAACTGAGACATCCTTGCTGCTGAAAATGTAGAACCATGAAGTTCTGTAGCATATTGGCATACCAATGGTCCACTTTTCATGATTTCCCTAGTAAAAGTAAGAAACAATGATAACAGATGCGGTATAGTCACACCACACTGCGACTTTCCCGCATATCTGGAGAGGTTATGTGGCACCTACTCTAATCAACTGATGATTACACAATATGGAAATAACTTTCTCTCTCTGAAAAGGACTTTTTTGCCTTTTATTTCTGTAGCCAATGAGGGAGAGAGTGAAGCAGATTTAACACACTTTAAGTATGAAGGATCATACAATACTGTTTTCACTCTTGGTACAGAATATAAATCTGCACAATAGATTTAAAAATGAAAGTTATATTAAAAGATGAAATTTCAGTTTCTCAGCATTCAAGGAGAATTCCTTTTGCTGAGACAAAGAATTGTCGATAATGAAATCGAGGAGTGGTTCAAGGATGGGATTATAAAACCATCTTTTTCAATTGCTTCATCAATTGTTCTGTTTAGAAAGAAAAATGCTACACCCCACCTTTGAGTGGGTTTTCGTGAATTAAATAAAAAAAAATAGTTAAGTATTCTTTTCAAATGGTATAAGTAGAAGAAATTTTAGATCATTTGGGTGAAGCAAAGGTTCCCCTCCCCCCATGTTCGACTTAAAAAATGTTTTATTCCATGTTCCCGCAGAGGAAAACTCTACTAAATATTTGGAATTCATTACACATGCACTCCATGAATTCTCTGCATTTTTGCTTATATGTGACACCAAGTGTATTCCAAAGATTTATTTATAAAGTGTTTAGAAACTTAATTCTGGATGACACTTGTTAATTATACGGACAATTTTATTATTCAAGCGCGAGATGAGAAAGAAGGTTTAGGAAAGTTAAAACTATTTTAGAAGTAGCAAAAGAATGTGGTTTGGAGATCAATTTTAGGAAATGTCACTTTTTAAAGAGGGGGGGGGGAAACTCAGGTATATTATTAAGGATGATATGATTTGCCCCTCTTCTGAAAAAACATTCAAAATTTCCCAGAGCTTAAATATTTTAAGAAAAATTCAGAGCTTCTTGGGTTCTTTTCAGATATTTCAGAAAATTTACTGTCAACTATTCAAAAATAGCCAAACCACAGTGACCTTCTTTGTAATGGGATAGGATTCAAATTTGGGCTAGAGCAATTGGAGGCATTTAACAAACTGTCAGAACTTTTATCAACAAGCCCTGTTTTTCATATTTCAAACAAGGAGCACCACCAGAATTGCACTCAGATTCAAGCAGTCATGGTTTCGGCACTGTTTAGCTACAAAAGTCCGACGATGGACAGTTACACCCCATTTACTTCATGAGTAAAAAAGCTAATTTCCAACAAGAGAAGCTACCTACTTGTGAGCTCAAAGTTACAGCTATAATGGAAGTTTTAAAGAAATTCAAAAATTACTTTTTAGGATCCAAGGTCAGAATAATTAATGAATGTGAGGCCTTTCACAAGATTACGTTCAAGAATGATTTAGTTTCTAAAGTGGCAAGATATGTGTTACTACTAGAAGAATTTGACTATGAAATAGTTCACAGATCTATTCAGCAAATGAAGCACATAGACGTAGAAACTCTAAACATGATGGTTACCTATTTTCAGGTTGAAGTTACAGCGAAAACTGCAGCTATGCAAAGAAATGTCTAGTGTCTCCAGTTGCTAAAATCCTTAGTTGAGCAAGGACTGAAGGACACATACACAGTAAAAAAAGGCATATTATAAAAGTTCAACAGCAGTCACTAGTTACTTGTTGTACCTGAAGCACTGGAGCTAGAAATCATACATAGTATCTACAAGGGACACTTTGCAATGTGCAAAATGGAAGATCGGCTGAAGATGGAGCTTTTTATTCCTAACCTTAGAAGATGAATTGAACAAGTCATCACAAATTCTGTAAAGTTCATTTTGTGCAACAAAAATTGAGGTAAGTATGAAGGTTTGATGAATCATATACCAAAAGATAGTAGCCTTTTGAGCAACTTTCACACTGATTTTATAAAACAATTACCATCAACAAACAAGAACCATAATCATATTTTGACCGTTGTCGATGGGTTTACATAGTTCATATGGTTCTACCCAGTGAAGTCTATAACAGTTCAAGATGCACTGCAGAAGCTGAAACTGCAACAATCAACATTCGGCAAACCCTTGAGAATAATAACCGATAAAGGTACAGCTTTTACCTTACAAGGCTTTGAAGCCCACTGTACAGAAGAAAAAATCCAGCACATACAGGCAAATCTTTTTTCAAGTAACATTGGAGCGCCCTGTAGCGCGATCTAATAGTCGAAATGGCCCCAAACTTAGTATTTAGACTAATCAAGACATGGGGAAAAGGATTCCGTGAAGAAAATATTAGTTCCTAAAATCGCCGCTAGGGCATTTTGTGGCACTGCTGTAGCTTACAAAAACGAGAATTAGCATAAAACACGGGTATTAAGAAAAATGCAAATGTTGTGCAATGACAGCGGCAGTAATAGGGACTATAAAAGCAAGTAGTATACAGCTCCGATAAATAATCTCAGCTGAAGTAAACGAGCTCCAGTGGACATGCCTCTCACGTTACCGGAATGTGCATTAATGCTGAAGCTGTATTACATGAATCAATGTAATGCATCCGCAGCTCTTTGGGAATTTCGAACCAGAAAAAAATTATGAAAGGGGCCTTTATCGCTGAATGGTCTTAAGAAAATGATTAAGAAGTTCGAGGAAACAGGGTCACTGACCATTCACATTGGGAGAGGACGTAAACCAGTATCAGAAGATATAATAACTGATGTGGCAACTGCAACTGTCGAAGGATTGCAAGGAACCATTGCTGGTACTAGCAGCGCCCGGGTGTAGCTCGACAACTAGACATGAATTATTCCACGATATGGAGAGGCACCGGTATACAACGCAAATGACATAATAGTATTATAATTTCCTAAAGAACAAAAATTTTCACAATAAATTATCTTTTTTAGTTTGGGACATTAATTCCAATCCAATCCTTCCTAACACTTACCGAGGTTTCCATATTTAAGAACATCACAATGAGAACTGAAACTTTCTGGCGCTCCCTCTCAAACTTTCTTCTGAATGTATCACTATTTGCTCTCCTCCTTATTCTTACAATTCATAAGTCTATCAGCACTGATGTAAAAAAATTCTTAAGAACAAGGTGCTATAGCACCCATTTTAGCTGTGCTGGCTTGATGAAAAATGTGTGTCAGCCATGAATAAAATGGAAATAATTGAATTCACTTATGTCCATAAGTTTCTTCTTCATGCATCTACTATATCACAAAGTTATTCTGTATATATATATTTCCAAATTATAACATCTATATATTCTCACATTGCATATATTATATTCACCTGCCAATTTTTACACCTTTATGTGAGATAACTCATTTTTCCATTGGGTTGTATATAGTGTAATACCAGACTTAATGAACCAAACCTTCATTTCCTCGAAATTTGTCAGAGCAGATTTCAACTTTGTTACAGAAATACATTCAATTACAGAGATATAAAATTTCTATTGTTTTTATAGCTATAAGAATGAAAAATGATGAAGAAAATTAAAATGTAAAATAAGATAAATCAACTTGAATATGAGAAATATTAATATACTGTAATGCAGCATTAAAAACCATACATTTCTAATAATTTTACTTTTATTGTTATTTTAAACACACAATCGGATCTCAGAATTGGAATCTAACCTGTATTAATCCATGTCCCATGCTAAATGGTTCCCAAGTACTAACTTTAAGTGCTGTATTTTGAATGGCTCTCTTAATACTATAAGGTGAATAAGGAATAGACCTCTGTTTCAAGCCAGAAAGCAAAATGCCTAAGGGTAAATAAAAAAATTAATTAGTTATTTCATAAACCTATCTATAATTATGTTATATACTTATTTTTTCCCCTGCTTCATAAAATTTTCAAAGCACATCGCTATAAAAAGCAATAAAATGCTATTCTAACATATAAATGCATGCATAATAAAACCAAAGAAATCAAATATTTATATTACTAACTAGATCTGTAAGCACATTAATAACATCAGTTTGTAAAAATTATATAAGATTAATCGCTTTGTCTAACATTTTCTATAGCAAAGCTAAAAATATCATAAAATGTCAAACATCATAAATCAAGTTAAAACAAAGTGACCTTTAATAGCTAACAGTTTTAACCACCAACAACCCCCTTAAAAATATAATAAAACCCAAAGTATCAATGTAAAAATTATACACAAAATGTAAAAATTGTGATGTAAAAATTATACACAAAATGCATTAGAATAAACAAAGTACCAGTTTTAGAGACCTGGCAATCTGGCATTTTTGGTCACATATTTGCAAATTAGTTTGCTTCCCAATTTTTCACAATCTTACCAATCTCACACAGCATTACTGATAAATGTTTTTACAATCTTGGTTAATTAAACATGTACAGAAATACCAGTAAAATAAAAAATAATAAATCCAGCTTTTGACTAAGCAAAAGATATCACAAAATCTTAATATTTACCAACAGATAAGAGGAATATCCTCATTGAAATGCAAAATAATGATAACTATTTGAAACATGCTGCTCATAGCAATTAGGGGTTATTTTGATTTTGGATATAAACTTCAGATGAGAAAAAATTTTGTTTGCTAATGTATGATCCATAGGAGCTATAAGATATGAGGAAAGAAAACTATGCATAGAACTTGGAATTATTAAAATTCATTCTTATTTTTTGGCCAGAAAGCAAAAATATATTCTGCGCTTGTCATAAAAAAGAAAAGAAATGTGATTTCTCGCATAAAACCGTGATTTAATAAGAAGTATGACAGTCCTATCCTGAAAGCAATGTTCCATATGTATGGAAGCATAAAATCAAGGAGGTTAATTAAGGAGAGAAATGGGGGATTCTTTCCCACATCAGGGTTCATACACATTTCTGCACATGGAATGCAAGTACTTTTAAGTACCGTTAATGAAAAAAAATTAAGGACCTATGAGCAAATGGGAGCAGAATAAATTCAATTAAAAATATTATCTATGCCTAAATTTCACTTTTGTAATACCATCCTAAAAATAAAACAAATTCTTAAGTAAGATGCATTATTATTAAACATAAAATTAATTAACATAATTATTAATAAGTTTGAGAATAAAAATAAACTTTATGAAATTTATCAAGTAACATTAAATATTTTACACTTATAATAGTTGGACATATTTGAAAGAAGATAAGTGACATTTTATTAGCATTTTACTAACAGTTAGCTTTATGTTGATTTTTTTTTAATGTCTCATTTTGTCACATACTTGCTCAGTCTAGAGATTTAGTAACTAGCAGGTAGATTTTATGACACGCAGCACAGGTTTTAAAGGCATATAAAGGAAACTGCATTTTCTTTTATACATGCAAACATGTTGATCACCCTTAAATTTTGAAAATATGTGTATAATAACATAAAATGATCTTAATCAAATGAATGAGATGAAAAATATCATTTGAGATAGCATAAAAAACACAGATTCTTTAATTAACCTGCACTGTTAAGCATTTAAGTCTTTATATTTTTATTATTTTCACATATTTGGGTTCACGGAATTATTACCACTTAATGAATTTATTAAGTCTTACAAATGACTACAAATAGAAGTAGACATAAAAGTTTTTATATGTGATAGATTAAAAAATGGAAACTAAAATCATACTTATGCAGCCAGCAACATGGGGAGAGCTCATTGATGTTCCATTCATAAGCTGTGATCCTCGTAATGTCCAGTTTGGAACAGATGTAATAGCACCTCCTGGAGCACATACACTAACCCCTAGTTCTCCATTAAAACTAAATTAAAAATACATAGTCAATTTTCACAGCTAATTATTAACATAAATCACACACTTACAAAAAGAAAGTCAGTAGTAACACGATTATAACAAAGGTTAAATTATATTTGGAAAACAGATACTTTAAAAAAAATGCAAATATCAATGATTAAATATGCTGGTGTGACTCATGTTATAACTGATTATTATTTGATACATAATATTACGAGACAAAAACTATGTAAAATAAATGCGAGTATCACAATCATAAAATGACCTTCTCACACAGACATTTATGTCAGAAAAATAAATGATTTCTTTTTAATATAAAAAATACAAAGTCTGATACAAATCTTTTAAGCACAATATTTATAAAGATACATGTAAATTTAGTATGAAATGAGAATTGGAAAAAAAAATCTCAATAATTCAACTACCACATATTTCATCTATCAGCTCAGAATTCATATGAGTCACCTATGAACTCTTAAAACTTACAAAATTTGAGAAAAATGAAATGCAGGTTTCGTTATCTACCATTCCTCTTTTATTTTTATTATTTATAAATAAATCATGTCCACAACTTGTAAATTAAGGACAAAGACTGTGAATTAACAGTTAAGTAAAAAGTTGAAAGCATACATTGCAACCAAACGCAAATTCTAATAACAACAATATACAGCAATAAATAACAGCAGTAGCAATACTTTTCACAAAGGAAGACAAAATACAGTTTAAAAACATAAAGCATATGTCAGATACATTTAAGTGGAAGGAAGCTGTCACTGGACCAACAGGTTGTTTATATTTTTAACGATGTTTTAGAATTGTTCAATTCCTATTTTTAACAAACAGTTTCAGATATTTACTGCCAATAAAACAGGACTGAACCATAAAATGCTGTCATAAAATTCCTTGGTGTCAATAAAAGGACCTGCATCAAGAATGGATACAGATAAAATTGCCACGTCAGAATAACTAATGTCTTTGGTAACCAGTGAATTCCCTTAATACATACAAGAACACTGGGGTCTTTGGTGCCAGGATGTAAATTCAGCACTTTTCAAAAAATTTTAATTTTTACTTTCTTTGTGTCTTACAAGAGAATTAAAACTATACATGATAAAAGACTTATTCAAATTTTTGTGGAATTTCTTTTACTATCTAACTTGGTACAAGAGTCGATCCCCCCCCCTGCAAAACAAAATTTACATGCCTGAAAAATACAAACAGATTTGCATAGCTTAATTGTGATATCATCAAATTAATTCTTAAAATACAGTGATTTTAAAAGTAGTCATTCTCCTATTGCAGAATTAGTAGCATTTTTAAAATAAAAATATTTAAAAAAAACTGATAATGTAGGAAGCGTTAAATTACTAGATAAGTTAACAAGCATTTTGAGTTTTTAATTTATCTTTCAAGTGCATACCTCTTTCAATGTGTATCTCATTATAGTCTTCAATACCAATGATGTCTTTTTTGTTATAATATCTCAAAACACTTCTGAAATCCTTTTGAAACTGTTTCTTAAATCTTAATTTCCAGTCTCTTGCAAGGATGTAAATATTTACCACTGTCCATGTTTTGTTGTCCAACACTTTAAGTGCATGCGATATTCATAACCATATAAAATATGGTAATTCAATATTTATCTACAGGTTTTATAATAATTTATCACTATGTATTACATAATATATAATCTATGTATCTATTGTCCTACATGAATTTCAACTGCAGCCTTTGATTCATTTGTTACCTTCCCTCATTATTAATTTTTCCTTGATTTCAAGCACATTCTCTAGAATCAGCCTGTTATGCATTCTAACAAAATGTTTTTGCCTTTCAATGAATTATAAAAAGAGTTTAATATTCATAGTTTCTCTTGGAATTTTTTCCTAACAATACAGTAAAAAACATAATGTCAAATTATTACATAAAATATAAATGAATGTTAATTTGCATTATCTATTCATCTTTCATTCCTTTATTAAAAAAAAAAGACTATGTTTGGTTAACAACGTACTTGTTTTCAATTACTTATGCAATAATTTATGGAACAAAATATATTCTTTTTATCAATACAAACTAAATATGACATGAAAATTTCAAACCATATAGAAAAACATCCTGTTAAAAAAATTAGTTGCTAAATATGCAGTTAAACTGCACAAAAATACCTACATTTGGCAAAACAGTGTTACTAGGCTGTTTAAAATTTCATAATTCAGCCAAATTTTCTTAAGAAAATTTGAGTAATCTACAGCAGTTAATTTTAAATGAAATCATTCTTTTTTGAATGCACAAGATCAGCTCTATTTTTTTCCACAATATAGCTTAATGTTTTAAAAATATTTGTAGATATTCTGTCTTTTATATTGCAAAACAGAGTAACGAACAATGCAATTAATGTAAATTATTAAAATTATGCTAATGATCCCATTCTAAATACTTTATTTCAAGTGTGTTACAATGTGGCATGTTGTAACTGTTCAAAATCAACCAATTAAAAGTCGCCAGTTCAGTTGGTTTACCGCAGGATATCAAATCTCATTTTTTTTACTTTTGATACCAGTAGTGCAATCAGGCTCAATTTGATTGTGGAAAAATGTTAAATACGTTTTGAATAGCTGCATCTTTTTTATTTTTTTCACCTCCTCCTGAATAACAACAGAAGACTGGATATTCAAATTAGAAAATAGGCATAACAATAATTCAATTATACCGCAATCGATCAAATATGAACTGAAGGGAATTCTGATAATCTTCAGTCCATAAAGCAGCAACCAAAACATTTGCAAGCATTCCAAAGGTAACCATTCTACAGTGCGCACTACACCAGAAACTGTGAACTGTACATACTTCGAATCAAAGACATTTTGACACTGAGGTGAATTTTATTATTTCAAAAATGCCAAATTATAAGATACTAAATATTTCCAGGAAAAGAAACTATCTATCCTAAAACACTGTTTGGATAGCAATAACTATACTTTCAAGTAGGGATACATCCTGAAATCATCCCTTAAGTTATGATTACTATTTCAATTTACATTTCATGTAAACATTAAAATTTGGCAATCTCCACACTTTTATCAAAAAAAATTAAATTTTCAACTTTCATCATAACTAGAACTAATATTTGTATATTTTTATTATATTAGAATGAATGGCAATTACTAAATAAATTTGCAGTTTCCCATGATTAATGGTGAAAAAAATGAATTTAGAACAATTAAACCACATAACTGATCAGAAAATAATTACCCTATGTATTATGAGGAAAACAGGGCTCAAACTTCCTGAAAATTTGAAACAAACTGTAGACAGATAGTTGTAAAATGTATGAAATAAATTTTCTCTCTGCTTATTTTCCTTTGGCATAAAATTATAAATTACTTATTTTAGATAACAAAAATGTCATATTTTTAAAAATTTATTTATCTTTTTTTAGACAAAATCTAATTATTTTTCAATTATGACAATTTTGTTTATAACTACTTAAATTTTTATTATAATTCATAGAACTATGAAATCTCCACTACCTCAGCTTCAAACCTGTAAGGAGATTCTGCATTTTTGCACTCTTAATAATTTATAAAATTTAACAAAAACTACGATATAAATACTGTGATAAAACTGTAATACAGGGTGTGGCACGGGAACTTCCTTATTTGAAACGCGCGCCATCTAGCGATATTTATTCCGAGAAGTGTGGGGTGGCTCTCATTGAAAAGAGCCATGTCCAACATTTTATGTCATGTGGGTATAGTACCAATCATGCAGTGGACGAGGGAGGAGCACGCGTTTGCCATGGAGTCATACTTTTCAACGTACTGCATTTTCATTGATATAAATTGGCAGTGGTGCAAAAATTTAATCCACGTGATTTTCTTTCATGAAAAAAATACATGTGAAGCCGTTCTTGACAATATGCCTCATGATGGCCTTGCGTTCTTTAGCGATGAGGATCGATTTCATCTTTCTGGTTAAATGAATAAGCAAATCATGCGATACTGGAGTGGCATGAATCCACGAGAACTACATGAGCAGCCCCTACATACAGAACGTGTGAATATTTGGTGTACGTTGTCTAGAATAGGCATCATTGGACTATGGTATTTTTGAGAACATTTCCATGGATGCCTTATCTCCTTACGAGGCGATCTTAAATGGGCAGCACGCTCGCCTGATTTAGCCCTGTGCGATTTATTTTTGTGGGGCTATTTGAAATCTCTAACGTCCAAAGACCCTGGCTCAAATGAAGAACAATATTCAAGCTGCTATCGACAACGTGCTTGTTGATATGCTGGTAAAAGTGGAAAGAAACTTCAAAAACTCGACCATCTTAATGCACTGACCAGAACAGAGGCCACCTTAATGGTATTATTTTTAAACTGTAATTAAAAAAAAAAACTTTAAGTGTCTCTGTATAACTTGGAAAAATATTAAACTGATATCTCTTATACTATTTTGTGTTATTCATTTTTAAAATAAGGTAGTTTCCCTGCCGCACCCTGTATAAACTGTAAATAACAAAATCATGAAACAGCGTCATTTTCTGGATGACACCTAACTAGGAAGCAGAATTTCTAGGCCCATTTCCAAGGCCATGTCTACATACAGATTTTAAAAATCCTAAAGCTTTTAAAATATCCCTCTCTCACACTACACTTTTATTCTATTATCAAGTCCTGAAATGTGCATGTTGTCTTCAGATTTATTTAGAAAACAATTTTATCAAACATTTATGCACAGTGTTGAAAAATGTTTAGCAGTTACCAAGGAAAGTTATTTTATTGAAAAACAATATCCACACACATGAGATCAGAATAAAGATAGTGACATTACTGTCCAGCTTTATTCCCAAAATGCTATAAGCTTAATTGCACTAGGGAAAGTGTGTCAATAAACCTCTGCTACAGAATTTGGTTAAGATCTATTCTGTAACAAAGGAAATCATCCAAGAGTGAAGCAACTTCAAAAGATGAACAAGATTATAACAATAAATTTCAGGTTACACATTACAAACAGAGTGAAAAAGTCTTAAGTGGGGGAGGGATTCAGATTGCCTAAATGTAGAAAATTTGCCTTTTAGTAAACAACGTGGAAATTTTCTCCCAAATTGATTTGACTGCTGAAATCTTCCAAAAACTTTGCCCACACTCCAAAGTTTGCATATTGATATTCTACACTGAAGTGACAAAAGTCATGGGATACCTCCTAATATTTTGTCGGTCCTCCTTTCGCCGGCAAAGTGCAGCAACTCGACATGGCATGGACTCAACAAGTCGTTGGAAGTCCCCTGCAGGAATATTGAGCCATGCTGCCTCTATAGACATCCATAATTGTGAAAGTGTTGATGATGCAGGGTTTCGGGCACGAACTGACCTCTCGATGACGTCTCATAAATGTTCGATGGGATTCATGTCGGGTGATCTAGCTGGCCAGATTATTCGCTGGAATTGTCCAGAATGTTCTTCTAACCAATCGCGAACAATTGTAGCCCGGTGACATGGCACATTGTCATCCATAAAAATCCCATCGTTGTTTGAGTACGTGAAGTCCATGAATGGCTGTAAGTGATCTCCAAGTAGCTGAAGGTATTCATTTCCAGTCAATGATCTGTTCAGTTGCTACAGAGGACCGAGTCCCTGCCATGTAAAAACAGCCCAGACCATTATGGAACTACCACCAGCTTGAACAGTGCATTGTTGATAACTTGGGTCCATGGCTTCATGGGGTCTGCGCCACACTCGAACCCTACCATCAGCTTTTACCAACTGAAATCGTGACTCATCTGACCAAGCCACGGTTTTCCATTTATTTAGGGACCAACCGATATGCCCACGAGAGTCGCTGCAGGCAATGTCGTGCTGCCAGTAAAGGCACTCGAGTCAGTCTTCTGCTGGCATATCCCAAGGAAGACAAATTTCGCCACACTGTCCTATCAGACACGTCCCTCGTACGTCCCACATTAATTTCTGTGGTTATTTGATGCAGTGTTGCTTGTCTGTGAACATTGACAACTCTACGCACACGTTGCTAGTCTCGGTCGTTAAGTGCAGGTGGTTGGCCACTGTGCTGTCCATGGTAGGATGTTATGCCTGAAATTAGATACTCTCGGCAAACTCTTGACACTGTGGATCTCGGAATGTTGAATTCCCTAACGATATCCGAAATGGAATGACCCATGCGTCTAGCTCCAACTACCATTTCGCATTCAAAGTCTGTTAATTCTCGTTGTGCGGCAATAATCACGTCAAAGCCTTTTCACATAAATAACTTGAACACAAATGAATGCCCTGCCAAAGCACTTCGCATTTATACATTTTCTACGCGATACTACTGCTATCTGTATATTTGCATATTGCTATCCCAAGACTTTTGTCACTTCAGTGTACATCTCGGCTACACTTAATATTAAGCTTTTCAATTTTAAAAGAAAGTTTATAAACTTATGAAACTTTATAAGCTTCCTTGGCATGAAGTAGCAGTCACCAGCTATATTGTGTTTAATGCTGAGCTGCACCGATTTGTGTTCAGCAAACTGATTGCCAACAAGCTTGTTCTCATTGTTTTCCAATCATTGTTCTGCATAAAAATGTTAAATCTACTGACTTTTATAATTTTTTAAACTGAAAGAATTTTAATTAGCTTAAAAAGGTGTTTCTCTTGCCTTCATACCCTTGTGGTGTAATGGCCAGTACGTTCGTTGAAGAGCTCCCAGTGAGGGCATTGCTCATTTTTCACATCTTCTGCTTTCAAAACATCCTAATGTCTCTACAGTGGCTCCCGAACTTAAAAAAAGGTGGTGGATGATGATTCTCCACCACCAGGATTTGGCGATTGAGTCCCCTAATCCCCCAGTCGCCCTTTAAAAGGGGGAGATATAAGGTTTTTCTCCCACCTTCTTAGCAGCACACTTTGGCGCGTATTTGAGAGGTCAGTGGTTCGAGTCCTGGCAAGAGCATTGCTCATTTTCACGTCTTTTGCTTCCAAAATATCCTAATGTCTCTACAAGCATAAATTAGAAATCTGCATAAATGTGTCGATACAATTAGACACTTTCTGCCTTGTATTTGAGAAGCCAAAATATTTTCACGAAAACGTGCTACTTACCTACATTGAAATTATAAACTGGAGGGGGGGATTGATGATGTGTGTGATTCTCCTCTGATCAGAATGCAAGCTTTACAGCAATTGCCCCATATTCTGTATTAGATTGTAAAGAAGTTTTTTGCAATTACAAAATTTATTCATGATAACACCTTAAATCTCCTGCAGAGTGCCAGTTGGGGGCTGCAGTAATTAATGTAAGTCGGCATCCTATTTTTTTTTTAAAAATGTGAAAAGGTAATTTATTTTTGCCTTTAATTACCAAAAAAAATTTATAAAAAAGTAGTACTTTGAATGGCTCTATTTCAATTAGATCTGATAACATGGGTTCTAATGTATAATATAAATTTGTAAGTTTTCTAGTCTAAAATATTACCTAATTTTTTAATAAGGAACTAACAGCAAAAATGTTCTAACTCTCCAGAAAAATGTTTTAACATTTACGGAATAAGTTTCTCAATGCATCACTGTGATGCACTGTAACATACTGTGATTCACAAAACACCATATATTTTATAATACAGCTCACATTCTTTACAAGAAAAAGAATTATTAACTAACCCAGGTCCACATGAAGTCCAAGTGTATCCAATCCCTGGTTTTTTTTCTCGCATAGAATATTCTGCAATCATCATATCAGGAGATACATACGCACCAACACCTGCAATTACATTACTATTGTTTTAGTCAGAAAATGCACATTACATTTAATAATTTCAACTACTTAATTACAGTACATTAAAACTACAAACAGTTATAAAAATTATAAAAAGCATTATTAAATACAACTGAGAAAAGCAACAAAAACACATCCTACACATAAGTGAACTTTTAAAAGAAAATTTTACTTTTTCAATGCTAAATACATATATGTATCTAAAAGAACTTTTAAAATAACTTACATTTGATGCAAGGAAAAAAGATTGCAAAATGGAAAAAAAGAAAAATTATTTCTTTCTCATTATGTGCATGGCTATTTTAAGTTAAAAATCATAAGATGATGAATGTTAAGTCTCCCCCTACTTTATTTGAAGATAATAAATTTTACTTGAGCAAAAAAAGGAATTTATGAACCCTGAGGAAAGGATCCAAAAGACCTCATCCCCTCCACCAAACCTCTACTAAGGACTTTCAAATTATCATGTATTTTGTGTGCTCCCATGCCACAACACTGTAAACTTACAACCACCCATGACTTCTCTGGGATTCAGACACATGCCTAATTATATGACAGCCAGCAACACTAACCACTATACTGATCAGGGCAATATTTTTAAAAAAACTCCTTTAGAAAACCAATACTTGAATTTTCATACTAATATTCATCTAGAAAAGCAAAATTGTGCTACATATATTCAATCAAATAAACAAAAACTTGAATCATGATCCATTTGGTGATAACAAGTATAGGATAATGTTTTCCTGCCAAATGAAACGACTTTTCTTTTAAGAACTTAAACCACTTAGGAGTTCAAGAAATTTCCAAAAATTGGTAACCAAAATATCTATTTATTAACTGCCATAACTGTACAAAAAATACATTTATGAAAAAAATGAGCATAAAAAATCATTTATTAGCCCAAAATTAAGTATATGAGAATTCTAAAAATTATTGTTACCCCTTGAATGTTTTTTTTTTTTTCATACAGGCCTTAGTATACTTATATTCCATAATTTTACTTTTTGTATGTATTTTTTTTTGTTCTATGGATCAGTAATGCCATCTATGAATCAAAAAGTAAACTAGAATTAATTATACACGATAATCAGAAGGGCGAGCTTTGAAAATGTGATGCCTACACCACATATGCCAAATAACAGTGCACACAAAAAACTATACTCATGAGGTAAGGGCAAAACTACTAAATGGTTAAGAACACACATTTTTTAGGGCGGGTTGCAAAAAAAAGCTGTTTTTGTTTCATCTACAATGGTTGCTTATTGTTTAATTTCTTTTATAAATATAACCCTAACAACGTTTATGTTAAGCACCCAGTATCGGTAGTGCAAGATGTGGTCTCCAACAAGTATTTTGAGCAAGCAGAAGCAGGCAGTCACATAACACACAGAATCTGATGCTAGAACTTCTAACTTGTTGGTATTCTATTCCATACTTGCCAAGCTATGACACTCAAAAATCAGATTTTTTTTTTTAAGAAATCAGGAGATTTTTCACAATGTTAAAAAGACTTTTTAAATGATAAAAATATAGTTTTTAATAATGAATTAACTTAAAATAGTTACTAATTCTTAAATGCAAGCAGCACAAAAATACCTTACACATAAAAAACATTTTTATTACTTGCATCGCTTAAGAAAACAAAACAAAACAAAAAAAAAAAAAAAAAAAAAAAAAAAAAAAAGACACTTTAATCAGTTTTCGTACAAATGTTATGAACAATGCCAGATTTTGCTTTCATTAAGAAAAAAACTTCATAATTTTGTTCATAGCAATTGCCAAAAGCCTGCTTTCGGTAATAAAGGTTTTTCTAATGTGCCATCACTACCATTAGATCTAAATTTAGTCCTCGTTTTCGAAACAACACTGAAAATCCCCTCACACTCTGCATTATTAAGGGGAACTGTCAAGATGGCCAACATAATTCTTGACAGTTCACTATATTTTAAAATTCCATCAGCACCTTTCAGTTTTCTAATTAAACTCCACTGTGTGTCAATCCTAGACAATTTTATAACTTCATCCAAGTTTTCTAATTGTGAACTGCAAAATTGCGACTGCAATATTTATCAGTGGCAACATTAGTATCATCATCTTTCATGACTAAATGAAGTAACACAGGAAATCTGTTCAAAAAGTACCTTATATCAGAAAAAGATGCATTTGCTATAGTAGAAACATCAGCAACTTCAGCATGCAAAATCACTTCATTGTTGACTGGAATTTTATGTAGTATGTAATCACATACTCGAAAGAAGTAACTTCTAACATGAAAATAAAACTTATTTTTGTCTTCTTCTGAAAGTTCTTAAACTACTTTTGAAGTTGCAGCTCTTATTACCAAAATCTTCATCTTTCTTCCGATTTTCTATTTCACCATAAATCACATCATATATAGAATTACAAGACAAGACACAGACTGGTTTTACAAACTTTGAGAAAATGTCTTTAAACAAATCATAAATCATTGATTGCAAAACATGAATTAATGGAATTCTGCTTTGTAGAACTATGTTAAGAATATCGAATGATGGCAAAATGAATTGTAAAAAAAAGCAAAAAGCGTTGTTAAGGTCCAAAGAGAAAAACATAAATATTCGTGCTTCACAAGACAAATCACAAGATACAATAATCAGAAAATGTTTCGTGTGTTGAGCAATTTTTTCTTTTTTTATTTTGAGAGATATTTGTATCAGCTTTACATTTACATTTTGCAGTATTATTTTGAGAACTGCCAGTTGAATTGCTGAATGGTGCAGATATTACTTTATTTTTCTCAAACCTATTTTTAACAATGGAAGTAGAAAATACATCTCCATTTACTTTAGGTATTTTATAACTTTCAATACAGCCCTTTATCTTAACTCTCGAAGCATTTACTTCTTCTTTAAAATATGCAGGAAAGGGGTTCCATTGATCGAGGATTCTATATAAGCATTTCTTTAAAGACAGCCAGCGTGTACACACGTTTCAAAATTTTTCTCATTTCAGTATTATGCAGCTGTTGGAAACTGTTTCAATTTTTCTTCCTTTTAGAACTCCTTTCAAGATAATAATAAATACAGTCAAAAGTTGTTAATTCGGACACCCATAATCCGGAATGATCTATAATCCGGACCTCAAAGCTACAAACTTTCTGCGCAAGATACACGCGCGTAAGACCTTTACGGCTGCGAATATGTGTGTGTGCGTGTGCAAAATATGTTTACGAATGCGCGTTTAATGTATAACAGACAGTATAAGCTAAGCTAAAATTATCTAATTCAGTTAATGTTGCAGATTGCGTTGTTCCTTAATCTTCAGATTGGATTTGGCTTATTATTTTTTGCAAACTGTTAGAACAATTTTATAAAGTAAGCTTGAACTTTCAATTATGTCAAATAGAATTTCTGATATATATTTACTAATACATAAAGGATCTACAAAGCGAAAGTATGTTTCAAAGTCTATTAAACAAAAAATGGAATTGCTGCAAAAAAATGGATAAAGGCATATCCTTTGTATATCTAAACTTTTTTTATCTTTAGCGCTGTGGCGCGCAACGAATTGGAAGTTGATCTGTCAGCACTATCCTTATCTTCAGGGCAGATGTTTTTATTTGGCTTATAATAATTCCTTACTAAATGTAGTATTTCATCTCAATGTACTCCGTCTTTGATATGATTTAAATCAAATTCCTCGTCATTATAATTCGCTTCCGATAGCGAAGAAAGTGACAGAGCTTATTGAAAACGAAAATATTTCAACTGACAAATTAGTCGGTATTCTCGACATAGCAATTATAGGACTTGAACAGCGGAACTTTATAACTGAACAAGAAATTATGTCTGTTTATAGAATTAAAGAGAATGTATTATCACATAAAAAACGAAGCAACATAAACAACTTACATTGAAAGACATGTTTAATAAAAGAAACAGATAAATTCAGCTTTTTTTTATGTAAATTTTGATACCCTTTAGATCCTAATTGTTCTTTATTTCATAAATTACGGTTTCATATTTTTAATTTTATAATTTCTGCGTGCCCTCTTACCAGATTTAAACTGATGATCTATAATCCGGAAAAATCGATAATCCGGAATCGCCAAGGTCCCGACGAGTCCGGATTAACGACTTTTGACTGTATCAACAATGTGATCATCCACATTTATTGGTAAAGAAGCTGCCCCTTTTTCAGCTGCTAAATTTAAGAGGTGGCAGGTGCACCTCATAATCTGCAAATCTGAATTTTCCTTTCTTAAGATGCCTGCAACACTAGTCTTCAAGCCTACCATTACTGGTGCATCATCGGCACCAAGTGCTAAGCAATTATCCAGAGGGAATGCATTTTCTTTTAAAGTTTTAATAATTAGCTGTGCTATATTAAAGCCTGTCGGATGTCCTTCTAAATTGGGGACAGAAAGTAAACTGCACTCAATTTCTGAAGACTCTGCAATAAAAAAAGAAACAACAATTGGATACAGTTCTGAATCGGTATCATTGCTTCCATCCGTAGAGAGGCAGAATGGAGTTGTCTTAATGCAATCAATAACTGAACATTTATTTTTCAAACCCATTTCTTTAACAATTGCACCTCTTTTGGTCCTTGCACTTCAGTATTTCTTAGCGATTTCACTACCGGGAAGCATTTTTCTAAATAAAGCTGCAGCATGATCCGATGCATTCAATGGTAGGTTGTGCTCCAGTAAAAAGGCAGAGAACAGACAATCTGCATTGATAACTTTTCGGTCCTTTGTTTCTGAAGAAAAATTTAATCTTTTTTTTTTTTTTTTCCCCCAAAACAGCTCATGTTGTCCTTGTGTATTTGTGTACGCACATGTTTGAGAACATCCGCCCTTCCACCATGCGAAATCAAAAATCGCAACGACACACAGTACACATCGCAAATTTATTACATTTCCTTGAGGAAATAATGGAAGGAAAATCAACTGTGTACGATTTTTGAAACGTACACGAGTATTTCACCTTTCTCGCAGACATAACAGAAGATGATAATTTGTTTCCCGAAGGCACGTACTCACACAACTCAGGACAAGATGAACGAAGTAACTAAAGAACATCCAAATAACAGCCTTGAGCTTGCTTTGTGCTCATTGGCTAATATATGCCAGATGACAGGCAGTGAAGCTCAAAGCCCATTAGAGAACTGGAGAACGATGTTTCTGGATATCATGTTATGCTCTCACTCACAAAGCAGAAATTCTCATCTGATTTGCAAGGGTTTGTTTTAGATATAATCTACAGAAAATTCAATTGCTTTCAGACATCCAAAATCACTTTTTTTTTCATATAGCGAAGTATTAAGGCAAGTTCCATAAAAATTGTGAAAAATTTTAATAAGAAAAAGTTAGGAGAAATATATTGTAAATTGGGTTGGCGGGAGAGCAGTCAAAAATCGGGAGTCTCCCGCCTAAATCGGGAGAGTTAGCTACTCTGCTATTCCGTATTCCTTCAATGTGTCAAACATTGCTCAAGAGCAACAGAAGAATTAGCAGCATTTAAAATAGTTGCAGCTGCAAAAAACTTAACTGCTCTGCTTCTGAATCAATAACTTTCAATAAGCCTGCAAATACACCTTCCTTATCTGGTAGACATTTCCTCACCCAGTACACTTTTTGATTTAACTTTTAATTTTCGTTTATTGCACCTTTCTCGGAATGTATCCAAAGTATATAAAGTGTTACTTATCAAAGTATTTCCAGAGTGAGGATTATCTGAACCAAGCAAACATTTTACTATGAAAATTAACCATATTCTGATCAAATTCTCCTCTTTATTTTAGCATGTTTTTCCACTCGAAAACTACCCACAATTGCAGTTGGTCATTTAATCCCACATGGGAATAGAGTTATTACAATTTTTTAAATGACTAACAATTGAATGTTTTGTTAGAGTATCCTTTTTTGTTAGCATTCTACATGAACATTATAATATTTACACATAATGCACCTTCTTAAATAAACTCTTCTATCAATTATAACCAATAAATATCATAATGTTCTGATCATCTCTTTGCAACCAAGGCCAGTTGGACAGCAGTCACTTCAGCATCATATTTAGTACAATTTGCACCAACAGCACTGCTAAAGTGCAGGGAGTAAGCCCCTGCACCAGCTATTGATTCAGAGGCCATAAGCACTTTCTTCAGTCATACTTTCAAACAATGGGTCTGTTCTAAATTCCCTAATAAACAAGTCGCAATGCAAAGGATCCCAAATCATTATAGAATCACAGGTAATGTGTTTGCCGGACTCTGGCCAAGGACTTTTATTCATAACAAAGCATTCAATTGGCTTTAGAAGGATTGCTTAATATAAACCTAAGCAAAACTCATTTCATTTATTGTGTTAATAGGAAAAGCTATTGAATCGTCCATGAAGTCAGACCTTTCTATCCAACTTAAGTCTTCAGTAAAACTATTCATTTCTGGAGGTTTTTAAAGCTTCTAAATACAAAAATTAAGATTTTATCATAAATTAAATTCATTTCTTTTATTAGATTATTTGAACATCTTCATTTTAATTCGAATATCAGTGTTTGGAAGATTTAAAAATTTCAAAGTAAAAAAAAAAAAAAAAAAAATTAAGGCACCTTCTAAGATTTTTATCATGCACTAAATTGACTGCTTTTACTCAATCATTTGAATATCATTCTTTCTAATTCAAAATTTAACTTTTTAGTGATTTCATAATTTCAGCTAAAATTTCAGGCACTGCCAATTAAAGTAGATTCTGAATTATGAAACAATGATTTTTATTATGATAAAAATTCTGCATGACACAAATAAGAAAACGAGACACTGTTCAGTACACTCCACTTTAAAAGGACCTTATAAAGTGTGAAACCATAATTAAAATGAGAAAATATACATTTTTGCAAGATTATGGAGTTTTTTGTTACAAGACTAACATGACATATCACCTTTCTTCAGTTATTAAAAAAAAGTTCCATACCATTACAGAAAAACATATCTAAATCATTTTTAAAATAATGTAGGATGTCCCTATAAGAACGGCACAGCATAGAATGGCCATTACACTGCTGGCCACCCAAATTGCAACACCAAGAAAGACAACAGATATCACAAAATTTTTTTAGTAGATAACATGTTGACCAAGTATCAAATGATTAAATTTATAGACTTCTGTGGAGTGTGGTTCCTTCCAGAATCAGTAGCCAGAGTAGCCGCCATTGTTAGAGATCACTGCTGCCACACACCTCGGCATTGATACATAGAAACTCTGGATGTGTTCTTGGGGTACACCAGACCAAGCAGCTTCCACATGTTGACAAACTTGATCTGGTGTGGCAGCTTGGGATGTCATCTGGGTGAATCGTTCAGCAACTATTTACCACGTTTTCTATCGGCGAAAGATCCAGAGAACGAGCCAGCCAGGGAAGCAATTCAATCTGGCAATTGACAAAGAACATTTGAACAATGCGTGCCGTGTGGTTGTGCATTATCCTGTTGAAATATGGCTGTGGGCAAGTTCTGAAGGTAAGGAAAGACAACTGGCTCCAATAACTCGGAGATGTAGTTAAAGTTACTTGCTGTTTAAAGTACCAGCAATGTGTACTAGAGGAGTGCGAGAGTGATATCCAATACCACCCCATACCATAATACCCAGTGCAGGACCAGTGTGGAGATGCATAATGCAGCTGTTCAGCATCCTCTCTCCACGGTGTCTCCAGACTCGAATCCGAACATCATGGAGTTGCAGACAGAAGCGTGACTCGTCATTAAAGACATTTCATTCCATTCTGCCGTCCACATCCTTCTTTCATCGCACCATTGGCGGCGGAGACGTCTGTGGTTCTGTGTCAAGGGTAGACGAAGCAATGGACGTCTTGCGGACAAACCACTCTGCTGTAAACGCCGTCGAATGGTACACGCAGACTTTGGATGATGCGTTACAGACTGAATGTGCTGTGCTATGGTTCGTGATGTGACTGAGCGATCCGTCACTGCTACACGCACACTGTTCCTGTCATCATGTGAAGTAGCGCACTGAGGTGGATGTGATCGGACACTTCAGTCCGTCGTACTCTCCTGCATCCAACAGTTACATATCCGCATTACAGTTGCTTGGTTTCGTCCAACGAGACTAGCGATTTCCTTAAAGACAATCCACACTCTTGGTAGGCCACTATCCTTCCTGCGTCGAACTCAGATACTTGATAAAACGATGATCGCTGTTTACTACGAGGCATAATTGATCGTGTTTTTTTTTTAAAAAAAACCACAAGAAAAATACAATTGCCGAACTTGAAATCGTCGAAAACTCCAAGTCTTAAATAGCACTTTGAAGTGGTGCCACAGGCACGCATGATGTACATCTGCACTGAAATTCTAATCATTTGCATATCTCACCTCCGCTAATCCATGTTGTAAATTTCATGTTATTTGCATGCTCCCTTCAGGGTGTTGCATTTACGGTGGCCAGCAGTGTACATCATTTAAGCTTTTTTTTTTTCTTTGAATTTCAGTTGACCAGTATAATTTATACACTTATATTACACACTTATACTTGTTTACTTGCACTTACAGTTATACAATTAAAAAATTTTAATATTCTAAAGTACAATTTAGACTAAATACTTACAGTATTCTTAATAAACCCCTGCCATATCAAGGTACAGACATTTAAATTTTAAAAAAGTACTTTCGTTTCTATTGCACGAATATTTTTAAAGTATGGGGCTAATAAGCAAAGTAGTACTTTCAAGTGATACTTCTGGATGCACAAATATATTTAGGAATGAAAGATTCTGAAAGTACATAAACTACATTACAGGAGTAAAATTATCGCAACAGAAACTAAATATTTTTCAGTTATTAATTACTAGTACTTCATATATAAAACACTTCCTACAATTCATCTTTTGCATTGCTCCTGTTAATTAATCAAACAATTATTAAACTATCTTTGAGACATATATATGTACATAAAGTTAAAAAAAGTAATATTACCAATCACAGAATTTGTTTGCATGAGAGGAGGAGTTCCGATTGTTGACAAAGCAGGACCATGATTTCCAGCACTTGAAACCAAGATTACACCATGCTCATTAACAACTTGATTAAAGAGTTCCATTACACGTCTGTTTCATGAAAAGAATGCTAAGCGTTAATTTTCTAATACTTAAATATAACATACATATGTTTTTTGGAAATTTAAATTGATTTTATTATGCTATCCTGAACAAGATATAAATCCTGACATACAATAATATGTTAATAAATACAATCAATAAAGTATGACAAGATTAAAAACAAATTCAAATCAAGAAAGATCTTAAAATCATGCATGTGCACAGCAGGAGAAATTTTCTCTATAATTTAAGTTATTAAAATTATATATATATATGAAATAAGATTTTCATACATTATTGGTGTTGTGCAGTTGGGGAAACAGAAATGAGACAAAATTTCGAATATAAAGAGATACGTTTATTTTAGCATCCATCTCCCTAGCGTTCCTCCTGTACATCGAAGAGAAGCCCTACTAATAGATATGTGAGCGTCATAGTGCTCATCTAATTAGCCATATTAATTGAGATCATGAGGTGATGCTATCTTCTCATCAGGAGTGTTCTATAAAAACTTTATGTAATATGACAGTAGTATGTCATCTTAACCTTTCATACTGTGTATAGTTCTCAGCCAATCAGATTCAAGAAAATTTTCACTATAAACACTTCTGCTGCAAAGTCTCCCATTTTCAAGCACATTGCTTTCACTCTGCCAACATGCTATTGCCACTTGCTTTCTCTAAAACAAAGAACTGTCCATTGTCTTAAAATGTGCTAAGCTTAAAAAACTGTGGGATGCATATTGCACCCATCCCGATATTTTCTTGTCAAATTTCAGAGATCATCTCAGAACTGCTTTAACAAAAAATAAAAAATTATGCTCTAAACTTTAGCCATGTCTCTCTCCAAACTTTTACACCATCACCATGTTCTAATCCTCAAGATATCTACAGAGCTCTGTCATTCAATGTATGTGGGAATCAACAAGTCATCTATACCACTAAATCATTAGTTATAATTTAGTTTGACAAGATGAATTTGTCATGGCTCTCCAGTGGAAAGTTTATTCAACAATCACTCTGAAATATTAGAGATGCACATAGGTTTTTAAAATTATACTTACAAAATTTTAGGAATGTTCAAAATAGTCTCCTCCTTCATCAATGCACTTCTGTAGGTGAATTTTCCAAAGCTTAAATTACTCAAGCCATTCATTTCTTGGAATCGATGAAAAAATGCATTTCTTGCCATATCAATCTCATCTTCGGAATGAAAACAACATCCACGTAAGTTCATTTTTAGATAACAAATAGCCAAAAGTCATACATAGCTAAATTGAGTGAATAAGTAGATATTCTATCACTTTGTCCCGCTTTTGTTCAAGAAACTCAACTGTCAGTTGTGCTGAATGAGAGGATGCACTATCACAGTGGAAGACGAGTTCTTAAGATTCTTTTCTTGAGGAACTTCTAGAAGACAGGAGTATACCAGTTAGCTGTGACCATCTTCTGTCCTTCTAGCTTGATGGCTTTGACCAGTCCTGTACTTCTGAAGAAAACAGCATATGTTACTTTTTTATGGTATGGTTGTCTTTTCACCATTGTGGACGAGAGATCATCTTCTAAGACCCATACTCTACTTTCTTGACATGTTGGACTGTCAAAAAGTGGTATGTATGTTTCATCACCAGTTACAATTTTAGAAATAATGTGGTGGCCACCATTTTTAAGTAATTTAAGGGTGTTCTTACTGATTTTGTTATGCTCCTTTTTTGGTACTCAGTTTAACTATGGGGAATCCAATGGGAAACTAGTTTGATGGCAGAAACCAAGGTTAAGTTCATTCTGTATCATTTGGTAGATGCAGTGATTAATAAATGATTAGCATTTTCCATATGGTAAGCACATTATCTGAGATTACTGCTGAGAACAGCCTTCCTATATGTTCTTCATCCTGAAGAGAGTTGCAAGATGAAATTCTGTAAACCATCGGAATAAAGTAGTGTGAGATAGACCTTCATTTCCAAATGCTAATTGTATACGAAGAGAGTTGCAAGATGAAATTCTGTAAACCATCGGAATAAAGTAGTGTGAGATAGACCTTCATTTCCAAATGCTAATTGCATACACTGAAAGCATTCTCCTTGATTTAATCCCACTTTAAAATCATAGAAAATCATAGTGCAATAATGTTCTTGCATGAACTCCATTTTTTCTTTCTGCCTAAAATTTATTCTACGCTAAACTACTTGCAATTGGCCAATAAAGAAACGTCTGTTTGACTAAACTATTCCTTAATTTCAAATCTAACCATTAATTTTTTTCTGCCGTAAATTGTCTCAGCCTCTCTAAAAAATTTCAGAGTGATCTACGTATCAGCGTTTGAAGAGAAAATTCATCTGAAATTAATTTTTTATTGCTTTGCCTGCCTAATATTTCAACCAGCTCCTTAAGTTATCACTTCTGTGATAAATTCAATGTAATGTATGACAAAAAAATAAATGTGCTTGAGTAATCAAAATTGATTTAATGAGTGTTTTAAGAGACAATATGGCACTTAAATAAAAAAAAATTTAACCAGTGGTTCAAATAATACAGTGCTCTGAAGGTCATTCATCTGCATGTTAATCTCTATTGCCTCGGCTTTCATTTTCACTGGTGCAAGATTAAAAATTGTGCTTCAAGTGTGGTTGCAAGGATATTTTCATTTCTGCTTTTTGTAACTGCACTTACATAACAAATTAACAATATTTTTTATCACTATAACGGATTTTAAAAATATGGCACTGTATTCCAAAAATCATAATTGCAGTTTTACAGCATTAGTAAACATTTCAGATACAAAGTTTAAGATCTTTTTATTTATTTTATTTGGGGAAGGTTGTTAAATCTTAATATGATTAATATATTTTTGAATTATTGACAAAAACTGTTGAATTAATATTATGAATTTTAGTTATTTTGCAAAAAAAAATTGTTGCTTAAAAATTTGAAATTTAAGAATTTCTAACTATTACAAGAATGAAGTGAATATGAAAAATGAAGAAAATAATTTGAATATATGTATACAAAGAGATATAAAACTGCATTTTAAGTACAATATAAAAGATATGATACTGATTAGTGTTGTAACAAATAAAACTAATTTTATAATATTCATTATTTTAGATGTTGAATAATTACAATAAAATTGATCATGAGCAATGCAATTTAGTAATGTAAGTAATGTAAAAATATAGTAAATGAATGTCAAAATTAATGGATAATTGTATGTTAATATAGAATATATTTAGTAAATATAAATAAAAATGAGTTATAAAATTCTTAAATTTGTTGTGATCATAAAGAACTCATAAAGTGGTTCAAAGTAAATATAGTTAATATATTCGCAAATATAGTTAATATAGAATTATTTAAGCTTTGAAACCACTTTATGAGAAAAGGCCAAACTTTTAAAGAATTATTTTTATTTTTTTCATATAACATATTCAATTTTTTTCATATATATTTTTTTCAATAACAAAAATATATATTTTTTCATATATTTTATTTTTTTCATAATAATATATATAAGTGATTTTTTTTTAATGTAATGGAATGTTTTAGCACAATTAAAAAAGACCAATTGCCTTTAAACAAGCAACAGAGGCCTTTCAGAAGAAGCAGTCTAGCATCCCTTTGCCAGTGGTGCAGAACATCAGTTTGTTCTTTGCTTTTAATATGCATATGTTAATATTTAGAGAAAGCTGTAGGGACTATCAGTTTTATACAAAAATAGTCTTAATAGAAATAACAATAAATAGCATAATTCCAGTAAAATTACTTCAAAATTATGTTAAATGGAATAAAAATGAGTTATAAAATTCTTAAATTTGTTGTGATTATGTACAATAAATAATGGATCTATTCAAGTTTTTTATATTTTAAAAGTCCTTCACTAAACAAATATCATTATGCAGATTGTAAATTTAACTATGGCAATTTACTTCTAAATTTGATTTTTGTCTTTAAATCTGGCTTCTTTTTTAATTTATTTTTTTAATTCACTATTGCAGGGTAATGTCAAATTCTGTTTACTAAATTTCTCTGGCTTAACTTGAGAACTGCCTTGAATTTTTAATTTTTATATTTCAATTATGTCATGTAAAGAATTTTATGGCATAAATAGTAAATAAAAATGTCAATCTTTTTCATACAATACTAAAAGCCAGTTATCTTGTGTAAGGAATAGAGGGTTTTAGGTCCAACAGTATTTAAGCATCCTACAGCTATCAACAAAGAGTTACGCTGATTCGCTTCATGAGCTATTATTATACTGTATTTTCTTGGCTTCTGTATATTATTATATTCCTTTACAATATCTGATTTTGTTTTATAATGAGTGAACAAGTATTAATTTTATTCAGAATCACAAGTTCACAAGTATTCAGAGTTTCATGAATGTCTAGCAGGAATACCTTGATTTTATACTGATTACATACATTTCATAAAAGAATTTCATAAGACACTGAAATTCATTATATGGACATCAAGACTTCTTATGTTTTAAGATTTATTATATGATCAAGAACTTTACAAACTTTGAAGACTTTCAAATTGGACACTAAATTTAATTTACAGATTATATTAGGTATTCTTCTAGAATTTTAAAATTACACCTTGAAGCAATTCATTAGCTTTCTCACTAGAACTGCATATACAGTACACAATGCTTCTAACTTTTGCTACCACTCTAATGATTTTTTTCCTGAAAATTTTGCTCAAAAGGCTTTTCTATCACCATGCCTTTTTCTTATTGAAGGAGGGGGGAGAATATGTAACTAAAAATTATACTGTAAGTTAACAATAGACCTTTATTCCTCTTTCCAATTTGCAGATTTCCCCTCTAAAAATAGTAATAATTCTTTTGAAACTGTATCATATCCAAAAACATTCTGCATTATTTGATCTTAACCTTCTGCATTGTATATAGTTCTCATCCAATCTGATTGAAGAGAGTTTTACTATAAACAGCACTGCAGCAGAATCTCCTTTCTTTAGCCGCTTTGGTTTTACTGTGCCAACATGTTGCTGCCACTTGCTTCCTATGAAACAAAGAATTATCCATTGTCTTAAAATGTACTAAGCTTATAAGATTGTAGGATGCATACTGCACTCCTCCTGATAAGTGAATCAGATTGTAAAATTGCTTTACTAAGAAATAGAAGTTATCTCTGAATCTTCAGCCATGTTTCTCTCCAGACTGTAACAATGTCACCTGTTGCTGCCTTTAACTGTAGTTGCACCAACTTGGCAATCTTGCACATCAAACTGAACGCCACCAACTAGGCGGGGAAATTGCGAGTTCGTTCATCTGCAGACACCAACTCACAACGGTATTAATTGTTGAGAAATTCAGTTCGAAGTAATGTATCACGTATATTATTGTTGAGTTTTAATATAACTACTAAAAGACATTATCGCCTCATATAGTCCACATTTAAACACAAACATTTTTTGGTCCGTCGAGCCAGAGCTTGGAATTGGCAGGTGAAGATTTTGTGTAGAACTTTAGTTTCATTAAGAATTGTCTCATTGGATATGGATGAACTTTCACTTTGTTGAGAATTTTTTGTCTCTGGATATCGTTATATAGTAATCAGCTCATCATTACCCTGAGAAAAATGGGTAAGTGAACTTTGATTCAACTGTTTTCAGTTAAGAAATGTATAATTTAAGCATTCAAATCATTGCATTTGTTTAATTTATATATTGCTTTAAATTTTGAACTGTCTCAAAAATTAATTTATTTGACTATTCAATATGGAAACAGAAAAAATAAAGAAAAAAGAGCATCTTTGCGAACTATTACTACAAAGGTATTAGATAAACTCCAAATCAAAACTGAAAATTCAAATCCAAACAGTGAGGTTATTGAAGAACTACTTTCTTAGTTAGTATCTAGAGAGCAGGCCTTATATTTAGTAGACAGTGAAATAGAAAAAGTTATTGCGATTGATGATTTGGAAGATGAAATTAATAGAACAGAACAGTATAAAGAAAGGATAATTCTTTTGAAAACGCGAGCGTATAGACTGTTATGAACGTCTTTAAGACAGTGACCAATAATCAAAATTCAGAATTATTCAACGGATAAAGATACTGGAAGCAGAATTAAATTACTGTATATACCTTTGCCAACATTTTCTGGCCAATATGAGGATTTGAACAATTTTAAAATTCAATTTAATAACAAAACTCACTTATCGGGAGTGGAAAAGCTATATTATTTGAAATCGTCTTTACAAGGTGTAGAAAAACAGATTGAAACAGAAGACGAATCCTTTCAACCATCATATAAAGCATTATAATATTGCTTTGAAAATAAGTGCTTAATTGTTTACAGACAAATGAACTCTATTATAAACATGGAAAAAACAAATCATGAATCAGCGGTTGAGCTCAGAAAGTTAGTGGATAATATTTCTTGAAATATTAGAGCTCTTAAGCATTGGAGCATTGAAAGGCATACATTTTCGGATCTCATAGTGATAAATTTAATTCTCCCTAAATTAAATAAGGAAACTCAGAAATTATTCGAAATGAGTTTAAACACTACTGAGCCTCCTAATTGGGCAGACTTTATCGCATTCCTTGAAAAAAGATGTCAGGTTCTTGAAAACACGAGTAAAATTACAAATTCAAATTACGAGTCTTTAACTCCTAATATCAAGGTGAAGGGATTTTTAGTTAATTCGAAACGAACTTCGACCAACAATTATAAATTATGTAAATTGAGGCATGAAATTTATGTGTGATGAATTTAGAAATTTAGCTGTGAACAAGCTTTTTGAGACTAGAAAAATTTAATATTTGTATTAATTACCTTAAAGCATCACATAAGGTGACAGAATGCAAATAAAACAGTTCGTGCAGTTTAAGCAATTTGCACCATCATAACCTGCTGCATTTTCCTCAGCGGAAAACACCTGCCATCGAAGCACAAAAAGAAATTCAAAAGAATTACCACACTCCAGATCCCCCAGACCAGAGGTAGCTTCCCAGATGTCTTCGCTCACCGCTTCCGACACCTGAAAGAATTTCGAAACTGTTTTGCTGCCGACAGCTGTAATTTACATCAGGAACAGAGACGGTTAACTTCATCCTTGCAGAGCAGTCATTGATAGCGGTTCAATGTGTAACTTCATGACTGCTGGATGTTCAACCAGACTTTGTTTAGAACACAAGAAAATTAATGTTTTGGTTCTTGCTTAAATGATAGAACCTTCAATATAAAACAAGAACTTAATGCCACTATACTTAATAAAGAAGAATATTACAGAAACTTAGAATTTTTAATAGTGTCTAAAATAAATAATACTACCCCTACCCAGAAACTGGATATTACATCCTTAGGAAATTTGCATTCTGTTCAACTTGCTAATCCTGAATTTTACAGGCCTCGAAAGATTGATCTGCTAATTGAATATTACAACCTTAGGAAATTTGAATTCTGTTCAACTTGCTAATCCTGAATTTTACAGGCCTCGAAAGATTGATCTGCTAATAGGTTGAAATCTTTCTTGATTTATTAAAATGCGAAAAAATTGCACTGAAAAACTCTGGTCTTGTACTTCAAAATTCAGTATTTGGCTATATTATCAGCGGAAAAATTGACAGCATTACGAAACAAGAAGATTCAGCATATTGTGGGGTGATCCAAGAATTGGACGATTTGAATCAAAGCATAAAGAATTTTTGGGAAATTGAAAGGACAGACGAATATAAACCTGTGAAGAGTCCGGAAGAATTATCAAGTGAAAATCATTTCTTAAGCACACATTCCAGAGATGAAAATGGACGTTATGCTGTCCAGATGCCTATGAAGAGCGAAGGACATTTACATATAGGAAATTCTAAAGATACCGTGTTAACGAGATTAAATTGGTTATGAAGCATACTGCTGAAGGAACAAAAATTGCTATCCTTATATCAAGATTTTCTTAAGGAATACGAAACTTTAGGCCATATAGAAGAAGTACACCAAGATGTAAATTTGGAACCATCATATTACTATATTTTGCACGATGGAATATATTGTCCACACAAAAGTTCGACAAAACAGAGAGTGGTATTTGACGCTTCCGTGAAGACATCAACTGGTACATCTTTAAATGAGCAGTTACTGAATGGAGGAATATAGTGCAGGAAGATTTGTTTTCCATCATGATGTTCAGGAACACACTTTCGCATTCATTTCCGATATATAGAAAAAATTTATTGTAAAATTTTAATAGATCCGGAGAGGAAATTTCAACGAATTCTTTGGAAGAAAAATTCCCCAGAAGAAATCAAGACATATTAACCCTTTGACGCGCGGTAGTCGCGCCTTGAAACCACCAATTTTCGAATTTTTTTCTCCTCTTCCTTCCGAAATTTTTGAGTGAAAATCAATTGATTACTAATTTTTTACCTCTAAATAACACAAAATGACTTCAGAACTATACATGTTTTAGGTCTTAGTACTTCAAATCGGATGCCTTTTAAAATTCGATTTCAATGAGACAAAATAACTTCCTTTTCTTAATATAAACAACTTTAAATTTCAAAAGTTATTCATCGCACATCATGATTTCTATCATAAACAATAAAAAATAGCAATAATTAAGCTGCATACATAAAAACAACCCTCTATACGTATGGCATTAACTTTGTGGTTTCAGGGCGCGACCACTGCCCCACTAGAACATTGTGCCACAATGCTCTAGAGGCTCGGTGGTCGCACCTTGAAACCACTGCTCTTCACAATGGTGTTTGCTTGCTTCTCGGATAGGAATGTTTATTTTTACCCGGTTATAGATAAGGGGTTTTGAAATTGCAGAGTTATTTTATTACTAAACAATACATGCACCTCCCCAGTAAAAATGTCTTTCTTTTCCAGGAATTTCAACACACTTGCTAACCAAGCTAGTATTGCGATTTTATAAATTCTTTCCTGTGGTTTAAATTTAATGTATCTACATATACTTTACTGTAATTAAAAATAGAAATCGCATAAAGTTTTATTTAAATTAAAAATATTTTCTGAAAATTTTGGGACGAAACACAAATAAAATAAGTATGAATGGGAAACGAATGATCTGTATCAAAGCCAAAAAGACTAACCCCTCCTCATTAACATAAAAAAACCACAAATTTCATGTGCCAGATGAAAAGAAACTAAATAACGGTGGACATATACCAGTGAAATTTAGATCCATCAGTGTACATTTTCTAGCACAAGGAAGAAACCTCATAGAAGAAGATACATGCGGCGAAACTTGCAATGTGGGCATGCATGTACCAAAAAGACAAAACATGCTTTGAACAATATCACAAAAAATATCTGTTCTTTGAAATTTTAAAAAAAACCATCGAGTCTTTTTTTTATCCTTATTGTACTGAGTTTTTTAATCCATGTAGCCAAACGTCCTTATTATGTAGGTACTTTCACTGCTATAGAAAAATTACATAAATGTTATTTTTAATTTTTTCTGACGATTTACTTTGTAAAATAATGTAAAAAATATATATATTATACAATTCCTACATGCATTTTGTTTTAAATTCGTAAATTTCGTCATTTATTGGAAATGCGCACGGAGAAAGGTAAGTTTTTTTTTCCTACTTACCTCGGTAAGTTTCTCGTCCTAGACGCGCGGTGGTTTCACAGTGCGACCAACCACCCACAGAACAATGGGCAAGAGTAGATTTTTTTAAATTCATATATTATTTGTCTCTAGGATCATAATATTCAATTTCTAGAGTTTTTAGTTAAAAAAAATTATAAAAATAATACCGCGCACGTCAAAGGGTTAACTGAATACTGTTACATACAGCACTACTAGCACCTCTTTCCTTGCTACTACAGTCCTACGACAATTAGCTGAAGATGAAGGAAAGGAATTCCCTTTAGCTGTTTCAGTCACACTTCAAGATTTTTATATGGATGATGTTCTATCAGGAGCAGAAGATTTAGAAAAAGCTAAAGAACTGCAAAATCAGTTAGTGAATCTTTTTAAGTCGAGGAGGCATTAAGCTTCATAAGTGGTTCGCTAATGACGGAGAATTGCTGATTAATGTTGATACTAAGGCTGAAGATTATTCATTTTCCAATGAAATGAAAAATGAAACGAAGAAAGTTAGGTATTTTATGGAATCCAGATTCAGATTCTTTCACATTCAATGTAACTACAAAATTGCATGATTACTATAATAAGAGACATATTTTATCAGCTATTTCTTCAATATTTGATCCACTCGGTTTAATTGGACCAGTTATTACGAAAGCCAAAATTTTTATGCAGAAGCTTTGGCTTCTAAAAATTTGCTGGAATGATGTGCTTCCTGAAACGGAATCTTGTGAGTGGAAGAATTTCACCCCGCCGATGCATAAAATTAATGCTGTAATTATTAATCGAAAAATTTTGTCTAGCAAATTGAACTGCATGGATTTTCTGATGCTTCAGAATTAGCTTATGGAACATGCATTCATGTCAAATGTATATTGCAATCGGGTTCCAGTTCTTTTGTGCAGTAAATCAAGAGCCGTGCTGTTAAAATCAGTTTCTATCCCAAGACTTGAACTCTGTGGTGCAGTGTTATTGTCACAGTTAATGAATAAGGTGCAAAAAGCACTTAAATTTGAATTAGATAAGATATACATGTGGTGTGACTCATTTGTAGTTCTTGCATGAATTCGGAATTCTCCACATGTGTTAAAGACATTTGTAGCTAACCGAATTGCCAAAATTCAGCAACTTACACACAAGTTCCAATGGAGATATGTGAAATCAGAAGAAAACCCGGCTGACTTGATTTCAAGAGATGTTAGTCCAGATCAAATTAAACATCTTAAACTTTGGTGGAATGGACCTTCATGCTTAAGAACAGAAGTAGTTGATTTGTACATAACTGTGTATCAGTCAGATTTGGATGAGATTTACTGCAAGGAACTAATGCAGCTGAATCAAACTACTTCGGTGAATAATGACTCTCAATTTGACTTTAATTCAACTCATTTGCGAAACTTTCTACTCAAACGATTAACTTATAGAGACAATAGGTAATTTTTAGAAGCAGAAGAGATGAAAAATTAGCAACGCCTTCGCCGGGAATCGAACCACAGACCTCTGAAATACCAGCTCAGTGTGCCAATCACCAAATCCTGGGTGTGGAGAGTCATCATCATCAACCCTTTTAGTTCGAGCACCACTTGTAGAGACATTAAGTATTTTTTGGGAGCAGGCAAGATGAAAAATTAGCAATGCCTCTGCAGGGAATCAAACCTTGGACCTCTGAAATACTGGCTCAGTGTCCTAACCATTACACCACGAAGGCATGCTAATGATTTGTTTTATAATAATATTCTAAATATTACAAATAGCTATACTAAATTATTGCATATTGTAAGTTATATTTTCAGGTTCATTTATGGGCCAGAGTTGTATCTGATTCAGGTAACTCAAAGTGAAATATTTTTGGAGGCAATTAAAAACCTGAAAGGAACATCTCAGGTTACAGGTAAAAGCTGTTTGAAATCATTGAATCCATTTTTTGATGAAACTAGGTTCTAAGAGTAGGGGCCCATTTGCAAAATGCTGTTTTAAATTTTACACAGAAGCATCCCATTATTCTACCAGCTATCATCAGTTCACTAAATTAGTAATGGAACATTACCATAAGAAATATCTGCATCCACAAGCATTGTTGAACTGTGTCAAAGGTTTTGGCCTCTTAGAGGATGGAAACTGGCATGCCAAATTTTGCGTAATTGTATAGTTTGTACAAGGGCTAAACCAATCCTAGTTGAGCAAATAATGGAAAATCTTCCTTAGGAGCGGGGGAGAATAAGTGCACCTTTTAAATGCACAGGAATCGATTTTTGCACCCATTTTATATAAAGTATAAACATCAACGAAAGGGAAAATTTCAAAAGATATATGTTGCTATTTTTATTTGTTTTGTCACTAAAGCAGCACATTTTGAATTAGTATCAGATTTGTCATCTGATGCCTTCATTGCTGCATAAAAAGATTCTTCCCTCGTAGGGGCAGAAACTCAATCATGTTTTCTGACAATGCAACAAATTTTGGTGGTACTAGTAGAGAACTGACTAAATTCTATAATCTTGTTAAGAACCCAGATGAATCTTTAAGAAATTACTTGACTTCTGAAGAAGTAAAATGGAGGAACTGTTTGTCTCCTACAGCTCCCAATTTTGGAGGTCTTTGGGAAGCAGGAGTCAGATCACTTAAGTATCACCTTACAGGTGTTGTAGGGGAAGCAAAACTTACATATGAAAAATTTCTCACAGTGACTCTTCAAACAGAAAGTATATTAAATTGTAAGTCCATCACTCCATTACAGACAGACGATGATTGTACTGAAGCTCTAACTCCAGGTCATTTTTTTAATGGCTAATCTTTGGAATATGGTAACAGGTAGTTTGGTGACATTTTGGTAAGGCGATAAAGGTTACTAGCTAGGACTTTAGCAAAACATGGATACAGTCAAGAGTGTGCGCAATGCCATTTTTGTGCAATTCTGGGATTTTTTTGTAAGTGAAAATAGGTCGACGTGTACATGGATGATACCGTACCGTGTATGTAGCATATATATTTATGAATAGAATAAAATCAATAACTATATACAGAAATGAAAACAATATTAAATTTTTGTAAGTTATCAGATAATGACATACTGCAGACAGAAACAGAATTATGTATAAAGTGAAAATAAACAGCATAAAATGCAAGAAAAAGGACATTAACAGGGTATGTGATCACCCCTCATTTGTATACAAAGTTTACACCTTGTGACCATGCTTTCAATTAGATGGTCAACCACCGCAGAATTAAGCAATCGCCATTCTTCTTGTACAGCAGTTTCCAGGCTCAATAAGAGTGGCTGGAGGTGGGAAACGTGAAGATAACAGCAATGGCCGAGAGCATCCCAAAGATTTTCAATGGGATTAAGGTGGGGCGAATATGCTGGCCATGCCATACGCACAATCCCTTCATTCTCCAGGTAACCATCGACGATGTCAGCTCTATGGGGACGTGTGTTATCAGCTATTAAAACAAAAGTAGGGCCAACTGCTGCAGCGTACAATCTCAGAATGGTTTCTAGGACTTCATCTCAACACCGGACAGCCGTCAAAGAACTCTGTTTAAAGATGAGCAGGTCGGTGAGGTATCCTAATGAAATCCCTGCCCACTGTTCGACATTTGCAAGAACTAACTGTTCTCCTTTCTCCTAACACACTTAAAATAACTTTACATATAAAATTCCAAAGCGTCATATTTATTTTCAAAATCCGCAGAACTACAACAAACTACAAACTGCAACAAAGATCAGATGATTGCCACTCTTACAGTGACAAACTATGAAGAGAAAGATAATAACTGAGGCTGGGTTCTAACAATACTCCCACCTTTTCATTGATGACATATACTTAATCAATCAAAACAAAATATAAAAAAGTACTTTCCACACAAATATTAAGGCTAAATAGTAAACAAAAGAAAAAGTCTAGTTCTTAAATTTTTACGCTAAAATAACTCAAGTAATGTTCAGATTAGAAATCTAGATGGAATTTTAATTTGTCGCCCACTTCTATTCACAACAGTCTTAATGACCTTCGATAAATCTGCAGCTGAATTATTCTTTGGTTATTTTGAGACTAAACTGTCTTCACCCTGCGACTCAGTTTTGTTTGCCTCATCTGACTCCAAAGATGAAGGAATTTCGAGAGGGAATATTCTCTGGATTAGTCGAACTAATTCTCTAGACATGGTTTTGACATGAACTACTCGAATGTTGCCATCTTTCCCAAGACATAGTTAAATCACTTTTGTTAGAGGCCACAACACCTTGCGTTTGTCATCACATTCGATGAGATCTACGTCCCCGATTTTTATCTGTTGAGAAATCGGCACTGTAGATGGACGTTGCACTAGCAGGCCGAGATATTCATTTCTAAATCTCTTTCTTAACAGCTCTCGTAAATTCTGCAAATGTCTCAGTCTCTTGTTGAAATCAACTTTATCAAGATGATCCAAGTCAGAAACTCCAAAGACTGGAATTTCACCTAAAAACAAGGACGGTGTCAAAGGGATGAGATCATCAGAGTCCTCTGACACATAAGTGAGTGGTCTGGCATTCACAGTTGCTTCGCAGTCGCACAGCACACTCATCAATTCTTCATAATTCAGACATGACTGGCCTAGGACTCGACCCAAAAGCTTCTTAATCATTTGAACAAGTCGTTCCCAAAAGCCACCCCACCATGGTGCTGCGGGTGGACTGAACTTCCAGTCGATTTTGTTTGTGGCGGCTTCTATCTCAATGGTATTCCAATTAATCGATCTCAAGAGATTATTGGATCCGACAAAATTGCTTCCCTTATCGCTATAAATTATCGATGGCCTCCCTCTAAGGGCAATAAATCTTCTAAAACCAAGTAGAAATCCTTGAGTTGAAAGGGACAAAATCAGTTCCAAATGGACCGCCCTGAAAACAGCACATGTGAAAAGTAAAATCCAAGCTTTTCTTTTATCCTTCAAAATTAATGGGCCAGCTAAATCAACGCCGACAATCTCGAAAACACGAGATTCCCTAACTCTGTTTTCTGGTAGAGTAGCAGGCACAGTCAGTCTGTAGTCGTTTACCTCCATGTCTCCTTGCACCTGACACATGCATATAAAGCTTTTCGAATCGTAGCTCTACTTTTCAGGATCGAAAATGTCTCTCTAAGTGTTTGACATCAGTACGTGAATTCCTGCATGAGACATAGAGAGATGTTTATCAATTATCAATTTCTCCACAATCTTATGATTCTTCGGAAGTAACATAGGATAAATAAAATTTTCATGGTCTTTCCTTTCAGTCAACCTAGACCTGACACGTAAAATGCTTTCGTCATCTTGAACACACTTATTGACTTCAGCTTCTTAATATCATCAGATGAAAAAGAATCATGTTGAATAATCTTCACGATAGATTTCTCAGCCCTTATCAATTCATAAACTTTTAACTCTCCTGATTCTCTTTCTTCTTTCCTCTTTCGGGTATTTCCTATGAATCTGTGTATCCACCCAATCATTCTAAGTATTTTCTTATACTTTGAAAAATAGCCAAAGAATTGTGAAGACACATCGCTAACATTGCTTAACGAAACTGTAACTGCTTTACGTTTTTCAGTATTAACCTCTTCTTTATTATCGATTGGGATAGAACGAGGCCATTCATCTTCCGGCAGTTCCAACCAAGGTGGGCCCTCCCACCATCTTGATTCAATGAGTTTCTTCACAGAACATCCTCTTCATGGCATATCGGCTGGATTTTCCACACCTGGTACATGATGCCAATTTTCAGTGTCTGATAGGATTCTAACTTCTGAAACTTTATTATTCACAAAAGTGCTCCAAACTTCTACATTCTTTATCCAGAATAGTGCTGTTGAAGAATTGGTCCGGTAATATTCCTTTGAAATTTCGACCT